TGACACTTGAAATGCCAAAGCTGCTTCCAAAGTGAAGAGATTTTCCTTAATGTGTGATGAAATAAACTAAACTTGATTATTAGGAGGGTGGTTGGACACAACTAGTGTACAATTATCTGGGTTTAGTCTGTTTAAACTCTTATAATCTTCTTTGACTGCATATATTTAAAAATTAGCAGTTTTACATGATAATTTCATTATTCTCAGTATTTTAAAGTATTAGTCTAACAACATTGAGTCAAATCAAATTGTAAAGTAATGTTTTATTTGTGGTTGAAATTAAATCTGTTCAAATAAATGACTTCACCAACAAAAGTACCATGAAAATAAATATTATTTTAATTTAATAATGACTTAAACACAGAATCTCTTCTTATTGAGACGTTAATAGAAATGAATCATGTGATTTGATGGAATATTCATTTAAAATAATGCACACATCAGTTTTCTCATCACATGTATTTACTTTTAGGGTTTACGGTCTGCAATACACGTGAGACACTAAATCATTACAGTCTTTCTTCACAACACATGCCCTACTGAGACCAGAGCTTTCATTTGAAGCGGTCTTTTCTTCCTGTAGCTATTTGGAAACTCAGTTAAACAATTAGCAGCTTAAAATCTTTGGAAATAAAGTACAGTTAAAATGTTAAACGTGTGTATCTGGAATTGTTGAACCAGCTTAAGCTTCTTTCTGCAACATAACACACAATTATTATTGTATTTTTCTATTTCTAAATCTTTCCCACACCCCCGTTTGGGTCATATCAGAACCACGAGCATTTAGCTTAGCACACTTTAACCTTGTGTTATGCCGCCATGTTTTATTCTGTACAGGAAGTGGTTTACTTAAAGAAAAAGTGGTTTAAAGCTGCATTCACCTTCTGAGTGAAATAATCAGTGACCGTATCTAAACAGTAGTGAAAAACTTCCCCAAACTGTTCTTTCTGGACTGGATAATTTAAATTATTCTGTCACTTCTGTAGAGTTTGAAAGCCGTTGACCCCGTAACAATGCAAATACATGCAACAATGTGAGAATTAAGCATGTGCTAATTTAAGAGACGGATTGCACCTGCAACGCTTCTGCGCTGGGGGTTTGAGAAGACGGAGCAGATGCACACAAAAAACAGATTAACTAGTAGTTGTGCTTTATATGTTAAAAGAAAGTAAAAAGTAAATAGCAGGAGAGGGAGAACGTTCAGTGGTTAGCAGTGGAACGCCAGCCAGTGGCCGCCTCCAGGAAGGTAGGGGCTCCAGAACTTTGTGATGCAGTTTTTAAAATGACTGATAGTTTGTTAAATAAAGATGACTTCGTGCTTTTATCTTGTATTGTAAAATATATCAATTAGACTTTTTTCTATAACATTTCCAGTATTTTGTCCAAAAGTTGTTTTTTTTTTTTGGTTTTGTTTTCTTGAGTAGTATCTTTGTGGGCCTTTGATAAAACTTATTTATTTTGGTGTTGAGTTGATGCAGATAATTCAGGACAGAGACCTGCAGGATGCAGAGAGAGGAGGAGAAAGCTCACTGACCACACCCTTTCACATTGTTTTCCCACTTTTAACCCCAACTGATATTTAGTATTTGATTAGTGCCTTTGGGTCATCATCCACCCAGGTCATAAGGTTTGCCACTATATGTGGAAGTCTGCAGGCGGCCCGAAATGTGCGTCCCTCCAGCATTATGAGCTGCAGATCTGCTGACGATGCATAAACCAGGAAAACAGAAGCTGTTTGTAGACGGTTAGAATCAGGTTTGGGGAGGTTTGTTGGTCTTCACACCTTTAATATTAAATTTTCTTATCACAAATTTGCTTTTATCCACCTGTTCTCCCAGGATGAGCAGGACTTCTTAGTTTAGCAATCCTTATGTGTAACTACAAAAATCAAATTAAGCCCTAAATCCACTTTATCCATCTTATTTGTCAAATCTAACACCACAGATTGACGTCTAGTGTTGTGAATTTATCTACAACACCAGTGTTTTGTTGAAGCAGAGTATTTTGGGAACCACGGCTGCAGCTCACCACACCTCACTGTAACAAAGTGTCTGCTCCTGGCTGTGCTCACTGTGTTGTTAGTGTTTGGGGGGGGCGGGCATTCGCTCTCACCTTCATCACTGTCACTGGCCTGCTGACTCAACCGTTTTCACCCACCATAGCAACAGCACCTCTGTGGCACTCCCATCTATCTACCTGCGCCAGCTTGGGGCCTGACATGCAGGTTTGATGAAGTGGGCACAGGAAGAGAAAGAGTGAACCTCGCTGCCACAGTGCCGTCCGCGCGCGCGCGCGCGCGCGCGCGTGTGTGTGTGCGCGCGCGTGCGTGCAAGCTCAGGAGAACCGGAGCATTTGTATGTAGGACAGCAAGAGTGCACAACTTTAAGTGTGTGTGTCAGGAGGAGGAAGACAGCGAGCGGATTTGAATGCCGCAGACCCAGATCTCCTGGAGGAGTGCTATCTTAAAGTCCCCTCTCAGTCTGCCCGTAATTGTGCGAATATTACAGTTACAGCGCTGCAGAAGGCTCGTGATATGACATATTAGAACACACCCGAGGGGCGAAATGCAGTAATTGGGTGCTTCGGATCCAGATCTACCATGTCAAGCTGCAGGAGAGGAAGACACAGAGCGCGCCCGATTCGAAAAATCATGTCTACAGCATCAAAGCAGAGAGCCACAGTGCAGCGTCAACAGCCGGTGTCAGCCCTGGTGACAGGTTTGACTTCGCCTCCAGCCAACAGGGAGGGTGAAGCGTGGATAGGGCTGATCAAAAGGTCTTTGGCAGGTAGACGTGGGGAGGATGACATGGAAGAAAGTTTTTTGTCATGCCTTTTTTATCCTGAGCTTCTTAAGAAAAGTGTGAATGACAATTATCATTAGAGAAACTCAATCAAAAGCAGGAGGCCACGATCACAGAGTTGAAACTTGGCAAAAGTTTGATGCAGTTTTAGAAATAGCCGATATTCTCAGTATTTGGGATTTTTGTTCTGCCCTGGGTTGACAGTTTGCTCAAAAAGATCAGATAAAGAGCTGGAAGTTATGGCAATAAGATAGCCTAGAGATCTAGACAAACCATAGCAGTAGAAGGTTGGTCTAGCCACGCCCCTCTTTTGCCTCAGCAGGTCTACTGTTATTCCGGAGAATTCGTAGTTAGGCCAATCACAGCGCTCTATGTTTGTGGAGAGACTTTGGTTGGGATCAGCACCAGAGCTATGACAGATAAAAACTACAAAGATGGTGTCATCTCAGGTACAGCGCTCGTTTGAAACGGCTTTAGCATCAACTTTACAAGATTTATACTTTTCTTTGAAGCATGAGAAGATAGAGGTACATCTTGTGCTTCGATGGTGTATGGTGGACTGCCCCATTGACTGGTTGCCGTAGCAATGAATATGTGTCATTTTTTGATGATCTGATTGGTCCTAGTTCTGTCCAATTGCGTGCAGAGACAGTTTGAAAGACAACCGTAGACTCTGCTCCGTGAATGAGCTGTCTATGGGTCGTGACCAGACTACGTTACGTAGGATGGCTTGCAAGGCTTTCAAAAAGATTCTGATTATTCATGATTTAGAAAACTAATAGGTCACCATACTTCTCCTTCGTTGTATTTTGACAACTTTCTGTGCTTTTTAATCTACAAAATAAATGATCCTGGTTATGAGGCACCTAAATTAGTTGATGGATCACTTTATTTGAACAGATTTATCTTCATCTAAGCTTGCACAAACATTTCTGTGCTCCAAAGCAGCAGCAGCACTTCTTGTCAGAGCAGCGTGTAAAACCGAGAACTTCCTCGTTAAATTCTCCAGAGTTGCACAATATGTAAAGCGCTGCATTTGATAAGTGGTTTGTGGAGGGAAACCATATTTTAGGTGTTGTGTCACATAAGCAGAAGAGAAGAGGAGTTTGATACCTTAGGATATCCCCAAGTGTGAGTCTTTGCTTCGCGGAACGCTAAAGGGAGCCGACAGTTGTTGGAAAATGTGACAGTCAGCAGGTTTTCATGCCGGGATGATGGAACGGAGCAGAAATGCGGTCGGCGCCGGCGCCCATAGTCAGCTGTGATGAACGTAGATGAGCACATTCGTTGTTCAGGAATGTTTGGGCTGCATGGCTTCACGATTCTGCTTTATGTGTCCTCAGATGTGGTTTAATGTGTCCTGTGTGTCTTTTCCTCACATGTGCTGAAGTTTGCACAAACCTAGATTTGCCTGGTTCCTAACGTTCTCTGTTTATTTGAAAAATGCTTTGCTTTGTCTTCTACACGTTGGGTGTTTTCTTGACCTATATCATTAGTTCATTAGACTTTTTTTATTTTTACGGTGTTTGCTGTTCTTCATCCATGTAACGTTTTGGCTAATGAGGCTCTGTTTTAGCATTTAGCCACCGTCGTAACTCTTTTTCTCCCCTCATCTTTATCTGCAGGTCGGTGGGCCCGGTACCTCAGAGTGCCACACTGACGGTCAACACAAACCCCAACGTCAACATCAAGTCTGAGCCTGTATCACCGAACCGCGATCGCAGCACTCCAAGTTCCACTGCTGGTGTGGGAATGGGGGCAGGTCCTCAAGTCCAAGGACAAGGTCTGGTTTCCATCGCCTACCCAGGTACGCTGCGGGTGGAAGCAGCCGGCCATGGCCGCTCGCCCGTCGACAGCCTCAGCAGCAACGGCAGCTCATTTGAGGGCAGCGACCGGGACGACGGGACTCAAGGTCGAGGTGGGGGTCCAGATTTCCACAGCCAGGCTGGCGCTGGAGCTCAGCAGCCTACAATGGTCCTCCTGCGGCCCTCTTCGTCTGAGCCCCAGGAGCAGGACGGGACAAACGTCAAGAGAATGAGATTGGATGCGTGGGTCACATAAAGAGATGAATGGACGGACACACGGAGGATGAAGATGTGTACCAGTGGCGTGTGTACATGCTCCCATCAGTCCCACTGCCCCCCCCCCGCCCAAAAAAAAAACCATGACCGCAATCTTTAATTAAAACACAGAAACCAACCACCATCGCCCCAGCAACCACACAGGAAACTTGTTCATTTACAGCACAAGCATGCAAACACACATATGTTGCACGTGTGGACACTGACGCTGAGTTGTTTGGCAGTGTGCAGTCACGTTTGTGCTTTCACGTCCTCGAACACCCCCCCCCCCCCCCTCGCAGGTTGAGCCACCAAACCAGAGAAAACTCCTCAAAAGTCTCACCTGGACAGACCAACCAGACTTGTTTTCCCAGCATGCCTTGGGACTGGTTTGTGGTGGGTGGTGTTTACCCACTGTTGGTCTACGAAAGGATTTGTTTAACCAAGGCAGCGCAGAGTTTAAAAAGTGCCACTGACATCGTCCACATCAGTTTTTTTGTACACGTCGGTCACAGCTGCACTCTCTCTCTCTATCGCTCTCTCTCCATCTCTCTATCTCTCTAGATTTTCGTTTCTTCGCTGGAACTTTGGCATTGAATCTAGTCCTTCTGTCTTGACTGTTTAAACTTTGGAGTCATTTTGGATTTGAAATCAAAGACACTAAAAGACAAAGTCGCCTCTCTCCTGGTCAGTGCCGGGAGCTCTCGACAGGTCTCGCCCCCAACAAGATGACCCTCAGGTCTTTTTTTTTTTGTCCAATCAGAATCATGCAGACTAGCTGTAAAACAAGAGACTTGTTGCTGAAGTAAAAGACTGCTTTTCTTTGAATCAGGGATGAGCTCCAATAGCTCAACGACACATGATACTCTTTATTTGCCCACATTGTGTCGACTACAGATGCTGAGAAAGGCCTGTGTGTCAAGTGTGTGTGTGTGTGTGTGTGTGTGTGTGTGTGTGTGTGTGTGTGTACAGGTTTCTTACCTCAATTTGATGTCTTTTCTCTTTTTTGTAAAGTGATTTGGATAAATGTTCACTATCATTTTATTCTTGAACACAACGGCAACGCACACAGCAGAAATTATTTTATATGATAGCTGATGTTCAAAGGGGTGGGGGGGGGTAGTGCCATGTATATAAGTAATCTGTAACCTTTGTGGCTTTTGTGTGACTGGGAATAGGTGTGATTTACAGGTTGAATAATAGGTCAGACATAAGTGTATATTTAAAGCGCTTCAGGGGCGACTTTAGGGCCAGAGACTCAGCAGACGACAGGGATTGTATATAAACATGGATATTTATATCTATATATATATATATATAAACTATATATTCGGCAGGATATCCCTTCACAAGAGAGGAAAATAAATCAAATGTAGAATCTCAGTTGATCGGTGTGTCTTTTAAAATAATGATTTATGCGCGTAAATAAAACGTAATATGGGGATGAGCCAAGAGAGGGCGCTGTAGGGGCAGGAAGGCAAGACTGCAACTGTTTTTAGAGTGAGAAAGGGTTCGGACTGTGTCACTGATGGAGTGCACTGACTGTCACTCCCAACTCACACACCTTGGCTACACACACACACAGTTGAACACAACTTTTTCTTTAAATTTTAAAAGAACAAAATTTTTAAATGGAGTTTAGTTATGTTTGTGCATCGTTGCCTCTACCACCAACTCTGATGAACTTATATATTTAGAATTGATTTAATGTATTTTGCTCATGAAACATTTGAGCACATTGAACAAAAAGTATTTCAATTCTGTTTTCTAAATAAAGTGATGATGTCATTTTAAAAATGGAAGATGTAACCAACCTGTTTGTAAAGGAAGCAGTTACAGTAGTAGGTAGCACATATTTATAATTTATTGAAAAAATAATTAATCGATTTTTTTTTAAATTAAAACTTATAGGAGAATTTTTGCCACATAATTAACTCTCCCACTGTCCTAATGGGTGTGACCCCGTTAGGAAAGCTGACCATTGAGCAGGGTTGATGGTTTATCCCTTGGGTCCACGTGGCAGGCGTGAGGAGTCAGCACCACCTCACCCCTTCCACGTGGACCTCGAGGGATAAACCATCAATCCCGCTCAATGGTCAACTTTCCTTGCGGAGTCACCTATAAAGACAGTGGGAGGGTTAAAACATCCTGGTGTTCGCTTAAAAAACAATTAGTTACACTTAAGAATGCACACACACACACACACACACACACAACGATACGAATAAAAGATTAAGCCAGCCAAGGAAGTTTCCACCCTTCTCTTTAGATGTTTACCTCTCCTCCTATTAAAAGCCATGTATCTGTATTTAAAGGACCTCTCCTTCCCCTCCGCCGGGTGGATGCAGTTTTATATCGAGGAGCGTTTTTAAAAGACGATGAAGGAAAATTGATGTGAAGGATGTCATTTTTGTACTCTATTAAAGTGTCAAATGGTGAATTAGGGTTTAGTGGTTAGACTTTTCAAAGCGTGTTGGTCAAAAGTGGAACTTTGTGTATTTAGTTTCCTAAAAGCGCTCTCAGCCAGCATCCATTTGCGCCTGAAAAGCGCTGGAGGCAGAGTTTGGGTATCGTTTGATATTAATCCGAAGGTTTCAGAGCAATTCCTGATCTTTTAATGACTACCTCCCAAATCCTACGCAGACTTGTCGACTTTAGGCTTTACCACATCTGGGCCACCCTCCTCCCCACATCACCCCCCCCCCCCTCTCTCACCCCTGTCAATCACTCTGGTTTTATGTCCTTTTTCTGAGCTTAATCTAAAAAATAAACTTTACAAACAAACACACATCCATGCACTTCTCATCGCACACTCCTCTACGTGCTCCATTCAGATATCGGGTCTCAACTCTTAAGACGAGGCTGTTACAAGTTTGTTTCCACAGTAATGCATCCATCCTACTCTCTCTCTCTTTCTTTATCATAACACACTACTTAGCTTATAAGTGATTTCTTGTTTTCTTTATCCCCATGTGTCACTCACTCATACACTCATACACACACACACACACACACACACGACATGCCTCAGTATCAGTGATGGTTTTCTGTGCTCGTGGCAGAGTGCGCGTAAATCCCAACACCGAGCAGAAAGGCAGTTGTGTCCCGAGCAACTGAACAAAACATAAAGATATAAAAAGATTATATTTACTTTAGCAAAATACGGGATTGGTGGTAAGAACTCTCACTGAACACCCGTAGGGGGCGCTGTAATCAGAAAGCAGAAAGACAATCGTGCTGAGAACAGCTTCTGAGGACCTGCTTCGCCCCTGGGTAAAGCGATGCGTGCTCCTGTAAAATGATGTTTAGAAGTCTCACTTTCCAGTGTTAAATTTGTGCTGGTGACAGTCTGTTTTAATAGTTCTCTGATATTATTATTATTATTGATGATCGTCATTATTACCACAGCCTTCACTGGTGGTAGGTAGTATGATGAGATAAAAAATCTGCGTTTTCTTTTTGTGTGTGTGTGTGTGTGTTTTTTAGCCGTTTTATAAATATGTTTTGTTTTTTCTTGGGGTTTTCTTCAGAAAGGGTGTTACTAATGTTGCACGGTTGTGTTTTTATTATGATTTTTTTTTGTTTTGTTTTCTTTCTTTGTCAAAGGGTGGGAGTTGGGGGGGGGGGGCTGACACAACACAAGCATAGTGATTTGAGTACACACGTGGCTGTGGATGGAGACGCCGAGCGTGTCGACGAGTTGCTTCAGTGCTACAGCTTCTAACTCGTAAATGTCTCAGTCCACACACGTTATCATGGGGGGGTGGGAGGGGGAACAGCGTGACACTTCTAACTTATTTCTGACTAGACACAATGATGTCAATGCATGGCTGTTTCAGAACAAGAGAAAGTGACTCATAGGAAATGAAATGTACACACACATCACACAGGGCGACATTAAAAAAATTGAAGTAAAAGTTTTAAGTGAATTATAGCTAATATATTGTGTTTGGCTAGTCAGCTTTTTTGTTGTAAAGATAATTTTAGTTGTTTTTTTTGGAGAATGATATACAATTTGTGTATATTTTCATAAATAAAGTATGCACTGATATGTTACTACAAATTCTATACTGCTTTTACAAAAAAAGTGTTTGTTATTGTACCAAAGTATCCATTGGTCCCCGCTTACCCTCCTCCCTTTTTTGCGTATGTTTTATTGTATTTTATATATTAAATAGACAAGTTGACATAAAGTGAGTTCGTCTTTTATTCAGCCTTTTCATACACCACCAGAGTGTGACCGCTAGAGGGCAGTGTCACATGGTTTTGCAGGATTTGAGTTTGAGGTATCCTCCTACATTTGTGCATATTTTATTTGCTCTGATACTTTTTGTCATCTTTAAAAGTTGCAATTATTTGAACCCAATAAGTATAAAGGAATTTAAGGTCTTTTTTGTTTTAAAATTAAAAAACGAAAATTAAGAAACAATTAGTTCACAAACAGAATGAAAGTGGTACTGCCACACTGGTCTTCTGTAGTTCAGCTCGATGAAAGGTGACACCATATTGATCCAGAATATTAAACTAAACTTCAGCTCAATGGAATAAAGTAGTGGGACTTCCAAAGAGCTACGAAAGAAAGGCCGACTGCAGACTTCAATGAAAAGAGGAATGTCAGAATGGGCAAGAAATCCTTCATAGTGGTGTGAAAGATTTCAGATTCAGACTCTAACCCATGTTTCACTACAGCGCTTCAATAGCAGTAAAAAAGTTATTCTCAAAAAATTTACCAGTTTTGTCAGGATTTTTCATTAATGAATTAAATATAAATGTGAGAATAAATCCTGCAAAAAAGTCTAAATTCTCCTGTGTTGTTCTGCTGCTCTCTTGTTTTTGAGCTTCGAGTGCTTTCAGCTGTTTACCTGGATTTGTTTTCTGTGGGAATGGGGTCCTCGAACCAATTCTGATCACATATTTCCAACATCTGTGACCTTATTTCATTCTCCAGGGTGACGACGGGCTCCCCGTTAAATCAGGATCATCACAAAATTTCTCCAGATTGTGGGAATAGAGAGCCAGTCTTCAAAAAATCTTTGGGCATCACCATGTTGGCTGACCTTCAACAACTGCTTAAGGAATGGGATCACGTTCCTTAACTAGTTGTGACCCGGCTGGTTACCAGCATGCAAGGAGGAGACCTCTGCAGACGTGACTCTTCCACATGCTCCTGGGGTCACTGACAGTAGAATTATTTGTTTTCTTGATTATTATAGACGTTTATTCACCCAGTCCACCAAGCTCCAAAGGACTTTTTAGGGGGAATATTGATGAATAATCCACCAGCAGGAATTATCCTTTGTGGCATCCATTGGAGCATCCTGTTTGGATTAGTCCTGATTTGAGTCCAAAAGAGGAAAATCTTGATCCTCTAAATGTAAGAAGATTAATCAAAAGTTTTTTTGTGGAAAAATAAAATATGACTGTGTTTGCATCTAAGGATGATTGTCTTGTCTTCTAAAGATGGCGTACACTTATTTGAAGGGAGACACGGTAATTTATCAACCTGTGAATAAAAAAACATACATTTGTTAAAATGTGTTAATTAAGTCATGTTTTTGCGAATTACCTTTTCAGTAATGTACTTTTAACTCAACAAATGTGATTATTGAGTACAAAATCTACATTTTATTTTGTTTGAATTGGTTTTTTTTTTTTGTTTGTTTTTTAATTAATACCAGTTATATTTTTTGTTTTTAGGTCATTACTCCTGCTGAAGTGTGCAGCAGAAGAAATCCCCGTGTTGCAACTCATGCAGCCTAACCCAGACCTCATCTGGTATGACCACCTGGTTCCAGAACAGTTGTTGGACTCATTCCTCAGGCAAACACACACACACACACACACACACACACACACACACACACACACACACACACACACACACACACACACACACACACACACACACACAGCTGAGTCAAAGGTCATGAAGGCGCCCCCTGCTTCCTGCAGCTCAGTGGATGGCAGCTTTTATTCTGGAGCTGACTCTGTCATCCACACGTAGTGGTTTTTACTTCGACTTGGCTGTGTGAGTCTTTACTCTGTGAGATTATCTGCAGCTGTCTGTTGTGTTTCTGTTGCTCTGAGACGATGGCTCGGATAAAACCAACATCTTCCTCGGCTCTCAGCCTGTGGGTGGGGCCTTTCTGCCTCTAATTAAATTTTTTCCCCACTGATTGAGTTACTGACTGAGCGTCTGCAGACAGATTCACTCAGAGACGAGCCTGAGGAGGCAACCAGCCTTGCTAACCTTTACATTCTGATCACAGTTCTTATAAAAAAACAAAAAAACATGTTTAAACTTTTATTTTCACCATAAAACAATGACTAACTACTGTTGACATGTCACATTTATGACATCCCTGTGAGTTTGAACACAAATATCCTATCACAACATTCCCTAAGCTTGTGCTCATGCAGGATCTGCATTATTTATGGATCACTGCTGCATTCCCACTCTTCCCTGGTGACTAATGGCAGCTCACAGCTGTCATTTGCAGATTGCATGTTTCAGTGCAACTCTTGTTCTATTTTGATTCTTCCCGTTGATGGTTTGATCGGCATGAGTTGATGGCGGATCATCAAAGTCAGATGCTTCATGCCCGACCCATCCAGGGATAAATCCTGGCAGCTCAGCTCAGACGGAAGGATCCAGTGATTCAGACGGATGGAAATAGAGAGGCAGCAGTGACCAACACACGGATTAAAATCCACTCAACACAAGTTCAATGAAACAGATTTTTATGAGGTTTTAAAGGTTATACGTCATTTACAAATACAGGTAGTGTGTGTTGGGTAACTAGCTTCAATTTATGATTTGGATCATCTGGTTCAGCCATCTAGGGGGAGCTCTAGTTGGGTTGCTGCTCTTCCTCATCAAAAGGAGTAGGTTTGCACATCTTATTTGCAGAGGTGGAAAGATTACTAAAATGTCCTACTTAAGTACGAGTACCAATACTTTGATAATTTTTTACTCAATTACAAGTAAAAGTACTTGCCTAAATTTTTACTCAATTAAAAGTAAAAAGTATTGTAAGCAAAATGTACTCAAAGTAAAAGTTACTTTCAGTAGTTACATTTTTTTCAGCGTAAGGATGGCTACATCTAAGTAGTGCTAAATCACAACGCCAGTTCACAATTCGCTCGTGTGTGCGCGCACACACACACACACACTCAAATACGCACAGCTTGAAGGGGGGATTTCTATCCAATCAGTGAGAACAGGACGTTCACATTGATTGGATGAGATTTTTCAAGGATGGTAAGTTTCAATTGTGATTAAAATTATTCTTTATTTTGAAAAAAAAAAGAGTTAATTTTTAGATGCCATCAGCATGTGAGGTATCTCAATGTTTTCATGACAAAACTCTAACATGAGACTGCTCTAACCTGTCACATAACAAGCCTAATGCAGTCAAACATTTCAGATGGACCGTATGACAGCTGCTAACGTTGGCCCTGCCCTACTTTACCTCTACATTACAGTTCCTTTATTCGTGTCCATCCTAGAGCTCCTCTCTGACCTTCATGCTTATTTAGAGCAGCTGATTTTTAAAGCTAGCAGAGTTCATCCTTGGTGGTGGGTTCACTCACTCATTTAACCCTTCACCACTGAAATCAGTTTGTTCATTCCAATCCTCCTAAATAATCCTCCAGTCATCCAACTGGAATCCTTAAGGGTCCCGTAACGTCCATCCTGTCAGAAAAGGCCTTGGGAGCCCAGGTGTTACTAGAACTAATGGTGTCTCCTCACCAGCGTGAGCCTCCAAGCATGAACTTTAAATTCATGCATTTATCTCGTCTTGTAACACTTTAACATGTTTTAAAAGGCTTGTATCATGATATGTTACACATCCCAGACCAAAGATAAGATAAAACATTATCGTAGACACTATTGAGACATCATTATTTATGAAATAGAAGTTATTTTCCTGAGCCATTACTGCAGCCAAGATATAGGACTGCATGGATTTGATGAAACCACGCTGTCTCATGCAGTCCTATGTGTGTAACACACACACACACACACACACACACACATGTTAGAATCTTTTGAATGACTAATTTAACTACATTGAACTGCTTTTGTAATAATTTAATCTCGTATTCTGGAGTAAAATAAAGAAACAAGCTAAATCATCACATATCTGTGGCATCAAGAAGCAACTTCTGAGTTCAAACACAGGGATGGAGCACAATGTTTACACCTGAACAGTATCAGGATGTTTTAACTCACAGAGGCCTGCAGGTATCCTGTTTTATGAGCAAAGCGCTGAGAATCCGCTTGTTATGAGCGCTAAACGTTATTTTGCCGCTGCCGTGCGGAGCGGTAGGGAAACACATTTCAAACACGGAACCGAATCCGGCTACCGAACTGAGCAGATTTCTGATGACGTCACACCGGTGCGCGAAGGTGCGGGATCCAACCCACAGGAGAGGAGGGAGAGAGGAGGTAATCAGCGAGTTGAGGAACTGAACTGATGTCTGAGCAAAAGTGTACACCCCCACTGTTTAGACGCGGCGCTCATGCAGGTGTCGCTTTCCGTTCCGGCGCTCCTACACGTAATATTTTTTATTTATTAAGCCTATAATTTATTTTTACTCAGTAACGGATATGATTTAAAATGTAGCGAATTACAATTCTTTTTTAAAAACTTAATCAAGTAAAAGTAAAAGTACAGCTTTTAAAAACGACTTAAAAAGTATAAATATACAAAAAAGCTACTCAATTACAGTAACGTGAGTAAATGTAATTTGTTACTTTCCACCTCTGCTTATTTGGATTCCTCCTGGCTCCTTTGGGAATGTTTTTCCCACCTAGCCATTAGCAGCTGAGCATCCAGCAAGAAGGTGTTTATGACAGTGATGTTTTCTAGGGAGCAACAATAATAAAGTAGAATGTCCTCAATATGAAGGGAACAATTTGTAATAATTGCACAGTGAAATAATCCATAATGTCTCAATCATTTTGGAAAGAAGGAAACCGATTTCATTCTCAGCTGGCTGTGGGGTTGTCAGGAGGTTATTCTTCATTTTTTAAGGAGAATAATCTGCCAGTTTTGTTGTTTTTGTTTTATTATTATAGCTCAAATCCAAATTGTTCATCTATTTTTTCAACCAGGTGACAGTTAAATGGTGTTTAGGAGAAATGGTCTTTTTCCATGAAGCCCTCCATGAAGTAATATTTGGTCTGTTGTTATCTAAGTAGGAAAAAAAATATTTGTAACCAGCCTAGTCATTCTCCTGATCCAGCAGTACTCATTTAGCATTAGCTTAGCATAAAACTATCTAAGTGAATGGTACTAACTAGCCTTGAGTGTGAAAAAATCCTTAAAATCACTAAATATTAGAGCTAATTCTGCGTGGTCACCTCAACAATCACACTGACTTCAAGTAGAAATAAAAAGTGACACAAAAAAATCACAGGAGCTGTAAGCCTCCGCTCAAATGACACAACACAGCCGCCCCAAACACACCTGCTTCCACAAACACAAATGCACACATTTGCAAACTGCCAGAAAAAACACACACAAAGCAATAAGAGCACACACCATGAGCTGGTTCCCAACTCCCCTCTTCATGACATCTTTAGATTTCTAAGATTAGATTGTGTTCACGTCACCTACCTGCAAATCACTTTGTAGTTTATTCAATTGTTTTCTCTCCTGAAGCTCGTCTGTTTCTGACTGATTTCTGACCGAGGCGAGGGGAAAGTTGATGCACTTCCCCCTCCTTGGTCCAGCTCTATAATTTCTCCATCAATCAGGCGCAACATCAGCAGTAAATCAATGGAGATGGATGACAGATGGCAGGTGGCCTTCGGAGCACATGTGTGCACATGTTCACAAAGAGATAAAAGAGGTTTTGATCTTTGTAAATGGAGAACACACACACACACACACACACACACACACACACACACACACACACACACACACACACACCATGACCAATAGCTTTGTTGGACATGGGTGAACCAGTGGACCCCAGTCTTGAAGAGATACTCGCTTCTTTGTTTTTTTCTGCGACTGAATATGTTTATTCATGTGAAACGATGTGTTTAAATATAATATGACCTTTTCTTATTGTTGCTTTTGTAAATGTGTAATTTTGTTGAGTCATAAGGTGTCAAAATCGACCAAACCAAACATTCCAGTTAAGTTTAATATTGCTTTAATTTCCTATTGGGTATAATTAACACAAAATGATTAATTTCGTTTTTTATAAGGCTGCTAGGTTACCACAAACACATTAGCTGCTTTGCCAGGTTGTGCTGTAACTAGGGAGCTTGTTAGTGAAAACTTGGCTGGCTGTAAACGTGTGGCACTGCTCGCTGATTAACACTCAGCAACAAGGTTTTACTATGTTAAGCTGCCAAAGAAAATGATTCATGCAGTCGTGAAAAATCTCATCCCAGGTGATTTATTAACTGCAAAACGTCTGGAAGTCTGAGTGCCAACCAGGCCTCACTTTGACACAAACACTTTTTGGAAATCAAGTCACAAAGTAATTAACCATTCAGCTTGATTTATTTATTCCCTCAAGGAATAAATAGTGAAATTGGGTTTATGCCATGAAGCCCTGTTTTGACGCTTCCTGTCTTTTTAGCGAGATGAATTATTTCCATGTTGCAGCACCGTTTGTGTTCTCTGTTGCGTTTCTTAAGCGGCTGGGGCAGATGCTGCCAAAGATAATGGTCAACACGATAATCCAGGCCATATTCAATACACCACATTCAAATAAAGATAAATATTTTAAATATGGAACAATTTAATGAAACGTTTTATTTAAAACAATAATACCTCCACAGGGCGTTTAGAGTTGTGCAGAATGAAGGTACAGTATTTCCTATATGTTAACCGGCACAACACCGAGTTTATGTTTACATCTACCAGCCAGTAGAGGGCACCATTATCGATTGCCAAACAGTCTGCTTAGCACAGCGAGGCTGGCCCTGAAGAAAATGGCAGACTCTGCAACTCAATCAGCTGCTTCTGAGCCCAGAAGATGTCATTATCCTTCTCAGAAGAGAAACAATCATAAAAGATCTAAAACCAAAGTGAGTTCAGGTGAAACATACAACATATGGACCCAAATAAAAAGTTTCACATATCTGCTGAAAACCTGGTATCCCGACATCTGAAAACCTTGTCCTATTGTTGCAACTACGACCTCCACACACTAGATGTCGCTATGGTGTTCCATGTTCTACCTTTAAATAGTGTATGTCCACCTACACTAGCTCCTTAAGGTTGGTTTATGCTTGACGCGTCCGCGAGGTCCGCACGGCTCCGTGCGGAAAAGTTGCGTCATTTTGCGTCATTTTAACAACCACGCCCCTCCACCGCGCCTCCGCACAGCCCAGAATTTCCGCAATGCGCACCTCGGAAAATTTCTAACCACGCGGACGGACGGACGCGGAAAAACATGGCGGACTGGCAAGAACTAGTATGGCAGAGGTTCGTAAATACAGACATTTGTATGATTCAGCTCTCAGAGATCACCGGGATCAACATGTTGTTAATAATTCTTGGAGAGAAATAGCTCGCACTGTCGGAAAAGACGAGAACGCTGTTAAAAATGCTGAAATGCCATGTTGTAGTAATTTCTACCTCTACTATGGTGTAGTGTTGGATGCATGCCGTAGAGCTCCATGCTGCCCCCTACAGTTTGGGAGAATATTGGCTCACCGCAGAAACGAGCCGCACGAACCATAAACGCTGCGAGTTGTGAAGCGCGTTCCATCCGCGAGCCGCATCACTGCGCGGAAAGTGAATGCGTCAAGCATAAACCAAGCTTTACTAGCCAAAGTTAGCAAGCAAGGTGTTGAAGCAAGCCTGACAATGTTATCAGACTGTTAAGCTAATGCCATTAATCTAGCATGTATCATTTAGCAACCCAAAGCAGAAGCTTGCCTTTGAACCGGAATAGATAAGCGTGAGACTAAATGTCATGTATAATAAACCTAATTTATTGTTTTTAAAGAATATTGTGGTTTTTAAACCTTTATTAATTCATTTGTGATTAAAAAGATGGCAGCAGATTATTATTTTTTTTTGTGGACTGTGTTATTTAGAGAAATGGCCTGTGAGCACCTTATATAGTTCGTGGGGGCATCAGGTTAGTTGGTACAATTCAAAGCCCAGCTGATAAAAACAATGTAGACCAGCATATGTTGTATGTTGGTGCTGGTTTACAACACTTGTCCATAGAGGGATGCTGGTCCAGCAATTCATTCAGTCATCACATCCCATCCTGGACCAGCATTGTAAACCAGCAGGGTGATTGTGGTATCTTAGGTGTGGCGAAGATTATCCTGCGCATGTTGTTGATTATTATCCTTGGTGGTTTCTGCAGGAATAGCGTACGACACCTTACTGTGACCCAGAAGTGATTCAGCTGGCTAAGAAGTCATGAAGTGTCAAACCAAGGGCCCAAGGCATAAATCTTATTGTTAGAATCAAAATCAGTAACTTTAGAGAGTTGCATAAGCTGAGTGATGTTGTCGAAGGTTGGAGAATACCAAGATGCTGGACAGCTGTCGTAATAACATTCCTTCACTTAATCATTGTCACAACACAATCATCTGCAGTTTTTCTTTTTCTCTCAATCTCCCTCAGGGTTGGGCTGGACAGAGGAGGTGAGTACACAATAGGATGGCGAGCATTGTTCAGGAAACTCACTAATGAAAGTCGAGGAAGAAGAGATGATGTCACAGATTTGTAATTTTTGCAGAGCCGCCTTTTGGGACAGCTGAATGCCCGTAGGAGACTCCAGTGACGCTTTGTTGAGTCTGTTGCTGCAAGGTCACTTAAACTGATTTGTTTCCAAGTCGCTGTGTGTGTAAACACACACACACACACACACACACACACACACACACACACACACACACACACACACACACACAGCCTCTCTTATCAAATCCCAGAGGATAGATAGATGGATGTTGTTGGAAGGTTCCAAGCAGCTGTTTTCTTGACCTTAAGGATGTAAATGTTCTGAGTCAGAGAGCTTGTTGCTTTAAAAGTCTCACCAGCTATTTTCTTTATTTCTTTATGGAATTGAAATCAAAACTATTAATTTGCATGAAATACATTTTCATTGTTTCATCTTCATATTTACTAATGTGATTTATCAGTCATTGGTTCATTTTAAATCTGTAGAAACAACAAATGACAGAAAACCTGAAAATCTGTTGTCATGATTAAAAAGCAACTTGTAAAAATCAATTTGGCCATTTTCTACAAATTCACGGCTAGAAATAGAAAAATGTTTTAATTTTCTATATGCTTTTTAAAAAAATAAAAAGATTCAACTATATTTCAACTCATTTGTCTTTTATAGGTGTGTGCATTTGCTGGGTTGCTGTATAAACAAGCGTAATGCTAATTAGCAGACATGCTAAATGTGCTTTTCTGTGCTGGAAGACTGATCAGTGCGTTTGAAATTGATTCTATTAAGAACACAAAGTCATGTCAGAATTAGAACATGACTTATTGATATGTTTGCAGAGAAGATTTAATTAAATGCATGGATGAACCGTGCAGGAATGAGAGACGCAAACATTTCAAACATGACTCAGCACATTTAGGAGTCTACGGTTTATTCTTCTACTGTAAATATACCACAGTTTGATCATTACAGAAGGGAAATTAAAACCATTGAGTAAAACATGCAACGACAAAAGTAATAATTGCCTGGTGTCACTACAACAATAAAATACTCCCCCTTAGGTCTCATCGATTTTATTTTAGACTCCGATTAACTGATCAATACCTGTTTTGACTTCCAAATGAAAAGCTTTGTTCTTTCATGCTTTTCCTTCATGCAAGCACACAAACTCCTGAAGATGTACAGTAAAAGACTAACGTTTGAACGTTTAGGGAGAAGAAAGTTTAGTAAAAGGTCAGATTAAGATAAAAGATTTTAAAATAGTTGGCACGCTGGATACAGATCTAAGAAATGCAGTAAGGCTAAAACGTGAAAACCTCTAACAGATGTGTTTAGCATCTAAAGACTGATCTAGCTCTTCTCTACATTCTTCTTCTTCTCCGGAGGACCATGATTCAGCCTCACCTTCAGATTCCTCAGAATAGAACAACACGTTCTTTTGTTCCTGCTCCTTCACAGCAGCTTTGGCTTTAGACGCCTCAGCATCGAACTCGGAGTTACCATTTACCACCGCTGAGTTTTCCAAACTCTCACTAACCTGGTTGTCAGTAAATCCTTGATTTTTGTTTGATTGCTCCGAGGCTTCCATGTGAGAATCCTCTGGTTCATAAGAGGCTCCGCTCTCCAAGGAGGACACCCAGAAATCCTTCTTCACCTCAGAGGGGAAAAGCTTACCTGTTGCATCTTTCACAATGAAGATGTCGTTTTCATCAGGTGCATCGTCAGGGGACATTTCAGCAGGCTCTTCTGGGTTTATTACATCATCATCAGCTGATTCTAGCATATCGTCATCATCCTGGTTCTGGTCTCTGATGTCAAACTGCTGCTTTGGGTTTTCCAGGACTTCCCAATCAGCTGTTTCTGGAGGATCAGGAAGCATGTGAAAGTCCTCAGAGACGTGTTCCTGGGACTTACTAAATGTTTGCTCTGGGATTTCAGGGGAGGCTGTTAGATCCTCCTGGCTTTTGTCCTCTGCTGGTACCAAGAACACAAAGTTTGGATCCTGTGGGTTTTGGGTTTCTATTAAATCTTTGAAATCTGTCGGACTGGAAAGATCCACATCAGCATGAGGCACCATGGATCTGTTGTCTTCGTCTTCTTCTCCATTCTTTGACTCATTCAAAGTTTCCTGAGCTTCGTTTTGGACTTGGACTTGGTCTTCCTCCACACTATTTGTTTGATTCATGTCTGCATTTGGATCTCTAAAGAGCTGTTTGTCTGAAGCTTGATCTTCCTTTAAAGCATGTTCACAGTTTAAACTTATCCCAAGCTCACTTGACGACGAGTCACTCGCTCTTTCAGCCTCCACTGGCTCGTTCACCTCAACAGAATCATTGTCCGTTTTTAGGAGTTTATCTCTGACTTGCTGCTGCACTAAATCAGCACTGAAGATATGAGCTGGCCACATCTCTAGTTCCTGTTCCTCTCCAAGGTCTACATTACTCCTTTCCACATCTTCTGTTTCTTTTCCGGAAGGTTCCTCTCCAGTGTTCTTCAGCTTCTCCTCATTCAACAGTGAAACGTCCTCACTCACTATTGAACCTTGGCTGATGTCCCTGTCTTCAGCATGGGTGTATCCCAGATTATATTCTTCATCCATAGTTTCCTCTTCCACTTCCTCACACAGATCCTCCATGGTCCCAAAGGCCTTTGACTTGCCATCACTCCACGCTCCGATTCCTACCTCTTCCATTTTTCGTTCCTGCTCACCTTCGCTGGACTCGCTCTCGTCGACGTGTGACGCTAGCGTGTTGGCATCTGTGTCGTCGCTCTTGTATCGGATCAGGGGGCGAGTGTCGGCCAGAGTGTTTTCTTGAGCATAGCTGTCGCCCTCCAGCTCCGTCCTCCAGGACACAGACACATTCTGAGAGTCCTCTTCATCGTGTTCTTCTTCTTTTTCTGCAGGTGGAGCAAGCTCTTGGTCCAACATGGTGACTTGTTCATCTTCTGCTCTCATGATCATCATTGAAGGAGCCATGCTTTCGTTATGATGAGCTTCCCTGACCTCTTCCTCTGGTTCTTTTGCTGATATGTCTTCTTCTGGCTCAGCATGTTGGTTTTGATCTTCGTTTTTCACATCGTCCTGAATCTTGACCTCAACCTTCCTCTCTATGACGCTGTCCCATGTGTCCATCTCTTCTCCATCTGGATACAACTTATCCTCGGCTTCCTCTGTGTATGTTTCCATTGAAGTACTTGGTTCTTCTCTCATCACTGCTACTTCCTCGTTGGAAATGTTTTCATCACATTCTGCAGATTCTACGCTACTAGGTCTGGACTCAACGGTTGGTTCAAGCATTGCTTCAGTTTCAGAATCGGATGTTTCTCCTTGAACATCATCTACGTCTTTGCCAGCCTGCTGTGTATCTCCTGCATCGGTTTGGACCTGGAGCCGTTGTTCATCTTCTTCTTCTTTCTCCAAGTCTAAAACTGTTTCTTCTTCCTCTGTGACTTGGTGAGGTTCCTCTTTCTCTTGGAAATTGCCCGATATAAGGCTGGGTGTTGTGAAGTCATGAAGGTCAGCTCCATCATCTGAAGGTGGTCCACTGCTGAAGATGGACTCAACTTTTTGACAAACAACTGACTCAACAGGATCAACAATGTTCCACACTTCTTTTTGTTCATCTTCTAAGGATTTAGCAGATCCCTCTTCCTCATTCAAAGGTAACGAAGGCTCTGCATAGGCGACCTTCTCATGAACCTCCCGAGGTCTGTCAGCAGCTTCATTCTGGACTATTTTGAGACATGGGCTTTCTAATGCAGCCAATTTTGCAGCATCTTTATCGGATCTGCTTGAAATCTCCTGAGTTTGGTTGAAAATTGCAGGTTTTTGACTTCTGAGTTGTGTTTCCGTAGCCGTGGGTCCCATTACGCCAAAGACGGATGGGGGGAACACCGTCTTGAGGCTTGCAGACATCTGGCTCTGGTAATTCCTTTTAACCCCACGAGAGCTCAGAGCTGCATCTGTGGAAAACAGAAGTCATGAATAAACAATGAGCTAAGCTACTGTAGTAACAATGATTACTTGAACAAACAAACCATATCAGTGATGAAACCCTGCCTTATATTCTATGTGATGATGTATAGAAGATGATCCTTGTGTGAGGACTGGTAGGAGCACCAAGGCATTACTAAACGCATGTTCTACTGTGAGTTTGAACACTAATGGGGAGATATTGATCGTCATTTCCTTTCATTGCTGTCCAGGATATGGGAAAGTGAGGCCATATGGCTCAATACCCACTGGGGTCTGTTGTAGGTGGCTTATGTTACAGGACCCAGTGTGTCTGCCTCAGCCTGCTCCATCGAGCCACTCCACCGGTCCTCAGCAAGACAAATACAATCACAAATCACATCAAACATGCCTCCTACTCCTAGAGGCTTTTACTCGGGCTAAGTGGAAATATACCACCAGTAAAAGTACAAGAAAGAGTAAAGGAGTCGATTCATGTGGCAGTAAAGTGGCAGATCCTATGTTTACTCTGATTACCTCTGATAGAAGCGCTTCTTGGTTTATTCGACAGAAGCGCGTCCGCCCCGAGGCTTTCGCAATCCAGCAGAGCTCTGGAAACCACGAAGATGAAAGAAAATACATTTTAAAGTTGTTCAGCCTTTAGCACACATGAAATATTTGATTTAAGATCTGGAGGCAGACATGATGCTGCACACAGAGCTGTGGGTGGGAAAAGGAGTGCTGCACTGAGGTCTGTTGTTATGGTAATAAAAGAAAGGCCCCATCTATTGAGGAGCCATCTGCAGAGCGCGCGCGCGCACACACACACACACACACACACACACACACACACACACGCACGCACGCACGCACGCACGCACGCACGCACACACACACACTCACACACACACACCAGCTCTCATTCCAGCACAGACATGTATAATGATCTGCACTGACCCAGTTTGGACCAAAAAAAGCTAAATGTGTTGTTTAAATAAATGTAACAACAGTTTCATGAAGAGTGGATGATGCTGAGATTTGTCCTCCAGCCGTGTCCTCTCCCCACTTTCTCCCCCGTTCTGATACTCTAGACTCCCCTTGCTCATAAATCGGTAGCTGCTTGTAGAGAAAGGGTGAGGGTCAATGCTTTAGGGAGGAGGGGAGTGGGAGTACGAGAAAGGAGACACCACTGTGGAGCTACATAATGGACATGTTGGTCTGTCCAGGGCGGGAGACGCTGGGCTCTGGTCCAGACGAATGGTGCAGACGTGAACACGTGTTTGTTTCTGAGCAAAACGTCATATTAAGCCATATTTCTGTCTCCTTTAAATGTGATAAAATAACAATTTACATTTTTTTATTCATTTATGAAATCTGAAGTGTTTTACAAATACTTTTTTTATTTTGTTTTGTACTTTAAAAAAAATACTAATTTTGATTCTAACAATAGGATTTATGCCTTACGAAATATTTCAATTACAAGATTATAACCCTTTAATTAGCAGGTAAACTAGTTATTAGAGTAGTTTTTAATCTATATTTTACCACAAACTTGACATAAATGGGGAAAAAACCACGTACGTAAAGTATGGAAAAGTTAAAAAAAATTTACCAAGCAGTAATATTTATATAATATCACACATTCTGATTATATTTAAGCCATTTTGGCTGATATGGATGAACTAATAAAGAGATTTTTTAGGCTAGAGGGTTAAACTCATAACAGTTCACAAAAGATTTGTGTCAAAACCTCAAATGTCTTATATTTTCACCATAATAGTGATAAAATTTGAGTTATTATGACTTGAAACGAAACCAGGAAATGACTAATAAGGGACTTTAGTGAAACACCGGCTGATGCTAGAGCTGTCACTTAGTGGAGGTTACTAATGGAAACTTGCATCATTTTAAATTGTTTATCTCATTACATAAGTGTGACATGCCCAAATATATCTAATTTTACCTGATAGCTGAGTGATGTCATCGCTTTTAAGTCCAAACTAATAAGTAGTTATCAAAATTAAACAAAAACTCCTTAAACTACCTTAACCCTAAACCTGTCTTTATTTTCAAATTCAACACAATTCTGACAGAAGATACGCTTATTTTGGGTCTTGTTTTTTTTATCCTGATTATCCCTCTGATTTTCTGGTACCTGTATGTTGCCACTTCCAGGCCAAGCGACATCTTCGTCTGCATCAGGCCTCGGTTCTCTTGAATCAGGTGATTGATCTGCAGGGCCAACTCCTCCTTCTCCATCTCCAGACATTCTAAGTGTTCCTGCAAAAACAGGAAGTCAAAAATGGAGTCATCGTGCAAAGATGAACCGTTTCTGTTTGTTATTCTTGGTGGTTGGAGTCGTTGCTAAATTTAATTGAAACAACCCAGAATTAAAAGAGACCCACCTTCCCCTCCCACGTCTGTCATCTACGAGGAACGAGTTCTGAGAAATGGTTGCTTCACCCTTTAGACCTCACAGTCACCCAGAAGTAATGCGATCAACCCCGACTCACACAAACGTGGCTTCCAGTGGCTTTCAGATGTTTTCATTCCTTTCGAATTTTAAATGAACCAAAAAGCTGAAGGAGCTCAAAGATGTCAAGTGAAACATTCTCGAATCTTCATTCCCAGAAGCTAAAAGGATGCTACATGCTACATGAAGAACATTTTACACCAAAGTTTTGTAACCAATTATTGTGCAGCGGCAGAAAAACGACCGTTTTTAAATTCTCGTCTGAAGCTGCCATGGAGAGTTTATGATTAGCTGTAGTTTGTTTCTCCAAATAAAGACACTTTTCTTCATTTACTCATCTTGTCTGATTGCACGTCTCTAACAGCCACAGCAGTTCTCACACAGACCCATCAAAGGCAAGTTTAAAAACGGTTTAGTTTCCAAATGAGGTGCTTCTTTCAAAAACTTTGTAAAAGAGGACATTTTAAAAAGTCAGTAAACTAACACACACACACACACACACACACACACACACACACACACACACACACACACACACCTTTAAGCATTCATGCTAGTTGCATAGTCATCAGTGTTGAGCAGTCAGCTGAAGCTTGCAGCAGATACGTGTTTTTATTAATTCCAACATGTTGCAAGAAAAACATGAAAAGGCCAAAAATTCAAGACTACCTCATCTCTCTTGACTGATGTTTACATCCTATCAGGTAAGTCTCACTCACCTGAATCTGCTGGATCTCCTGGTGGTGCTCCCCTCGGCATTGGGCCACAGCCTTCTCCAGGTGCATCCTGACATCCTGAGCTGAGGAGATCTCCTTCTCCAGGGCTTGAAGCTTCAGCTGGCTCGCCTGTTTTTCCTGGCAGACTTGACTCAAGTGGCTCTGGGTCTGGTGGAGCGACTCTTCTAGTTGAGCTATCTGGCCCTGATAGGCCTCTGAGGCCTCCTGCCACGCTCGGTTTGCTTTCTCAGAAAACTCCTGGCCCATCCTGAGGAGGTCTGGAGTATGATTGCTCCTTTGAGCCATCAGTGGAGGTGCTGTGGATCTGGATTGGGTCAGTTTGGCCTCCATGTGAGCCACATCATCCTCGTGGGTTTGAATTAGATGTTTCATCTCATGCTTCAGCTGACTGACTTTCTCCCTGAGCCAGATCTGTGCTCTCTCCTCCTCCTCCAGCTCCCTCCTGCTTTGCTCCATCTTCGTCTTGACCATCACTTTGGCTTGGGCCTCCCTCTGTCTCTGCAGCTCCAGATCCTGAAGCTCCTCATTGAGCTTCTCAACCTCCAGCTCAGTGAGAACCCTCTCTCTCCAGGCTGCCTCCACGTCCAGCCTGGCCTGCTGCAGCTCTTCCAACAGGCCCTCCCTCCTCCTCTGGGCCCCCTGATGGTTGTATCTCAGAGCTTTTATCTCATTTGCAAGCAGCTCATTTTCCTCCTCCAGAAGTTTGACCCGGCTAAGGTAGGTCTCCAGGCGCCTGTTCAGGTCCAGCATCTGTTGCTTTTCTTCACCGAGGTGGTTCGGATGGAAGGTTCTTCTCACACTGTGAAACTCCATGTCAGAGTTTTAATTAATCAAGGCGCCACTCCGAGCTTCAGTTTGTGAAAAGGCTGTGTGTGTGTCTCTGGCCAGGCTGGAGTCAGCGTGCTGGGGAGTCTGGAATGAGTGGGTCTCCCGTGACTGCCAGCGAGACACTCCCCTTTCATACTGGGCTTAATGAAGGGGATGGGTCCATGGGACAAAAAGGGAGGAGGGATAGAGAGGGAGGAGACCGGGAGCTGGGGAGGAGAGTTAGGAGGAAGAATAGAAAGGGAGAGACAGGAAAGAGGGAGGATATTGAAGATGAGATTGGAAAGCTGTAATGAGCTGATCGGAAATGATGCAAAAGAGCAGATGGGGCGGTGATGTCATCTAAAAGATTAACTCCTTCACAGCTGCAACATCTTTTCCAGTTTAGGATGCAGCATTTCCCAGTTTAACAGTGTGGTATTGATGGGCTGCAGCTCATCGTTTCATTGGCTGTTGTTGCTTTCCTTTGCCTGAGGGGGAGATTTTCACGTCAATGAAAAAGGAGTCAAAGTCAGCAAGTTTGAGTGTGTGTGTGTGTGTGTGTGTGTGTGTGTGTGTGTGTGTGTGTGTGTGTGTGTGTGTGTGTGTGTGTGTGTGTGTGTGTGTGTGTGTGGCATTAGCAAAATATATCATGGAACACAGGAACATTCAGTGAAAGTTATGATCTAGCATGCTTAATTGACTTGGAGTCAACCCAATTCAACGTGAAACATCCAAACAACATTAGCAATCTAAAAATGACAAACTTTATTTATTTTATAGGTGTTAAAGCTAACATTTGCTGTGTTAGTAGCTGGAAACCGTTCCTATCCCTATCACACACTCCAAGAAATACTTGCATAAAATCTTTGCTAAAAATCAGTAGGAGCCAAATTTCTTTGTCTGTTACCAAAATATATAATAATTCATATCTAAACTGAAGTAAACGCCAAAGTCTGGAACAAGAAGTCCAAATCGTGTAGGTGTGTCCGTACACACACACACACACAGATGGATGTACATCATAATAACACCCAAACTGTGAATATTTCACTCCTTTCCACTTGAGGCTTACATGCAAATTATTGTTAAACTAAAAGCAGAAGTTTTGACGTCTCAGGGCTGAGAGCGAGACACTTGCCAAAACGGAAACATTTACTTCTCCGTTGCTCAAATTTGTGGTTTATCTGTTGGACCCAACTTCTCAGTCGGGCTGAGGAGATGGCGGAGGAGGACGTTCAATACGCTTCAGTGACTTTCAAAAATAAGAACCAGTCCCAGGAAAGGCGTAAGTTAAGCTGTTTACCCATCTGTAACGGTTATTGTTTAATGTACTTCTGTATCATTTATCATACTTGGTATTTTTCATAACGGCTTGAGAAATAACCAAAACAGGAAGTGCAGTTCAGAATGAATTTGTAACATTTAAAAGTGGAAGAATGAAAGTGTCTCACAGCTTTGTTCACTAGCGAGGGAGCGGTGGAGATTGATAGGCTGGTGGGGGCAACGTGATGTAGAGGCGAGGCACCTGATTTATAGACTAGTCTATGTTCCAGCCCTCACCTGTGGTCGTGAGCTTCAGGTAATGACTGAAAAAACAAGAACAGACATGCAGGCAGTGAAGACAACGTGGCTGGACTCAGCCTTGGAGGTCCCAACGGTGGGTACCAGGCCAGAGATGCTGCCCCTGCAACCCAGATAGTTACAGGAAGATAACTTTAGATTCTAGGGTGACGATTACTAGAATAAATAAATGTCCAATCAGTTTTTTGACATGTAGCAAAAACTGACAGAATTCTGCAATGCTGAGAATACTTCTAATAAACTGCTCACGGACATTAATTTACCCATAAACAAGCAGCATTGTTTTCCTTTTATTACACAATGATCTAAACTTCCTCTCTGTTCAAAATACTCACTTGAGTGTGTTTGCACGTTCAGGTTCCTATAGCGTGCATTTAAGTTCTTTGTTGTTGAAGACGACTCTAATATCTCCAAGCTGTGCACAGAAAAGAGGAAGAACCCACTGATGATTAAATAAGAATAGATTATTAAACTGATTTAAAAGAGATTTTATAGCTAATAACTAATATTTGAATCTTTCAGCTAAACGTGAAGAAGATACTGTGTATGACAATGTGAGGGTGAACCATAAAACCACCCAGGAAACTCCGGATGCAAAAGGTCAGTAAAAATAAAGAAATGTATGTATTTATTTATTTATTTATTGATAAATAAATTAGAATTGATTAATTGATTAATTAATTAACAAATTATTGGTATTATGATATAATAATAATGTAGTATAGTTATAATAATAATAATAATAATAATAATAATACATTTTACCATTCCAAGTAGGACTTGGTGAGATAGTTTGATGTTTATTTCAATAATAAAATGTGGGATTTTCTCAAAGTTTTTAACTGAAAGTAATGTTTAAAATTCAGAGTCACAAATGCTGAAGTATTTTTGTTTCCGTTGTCGTTGCTTCAGGAGGACTTTTGTCAGAAAAGGAAGAAGAAAAATGTTGTCAAAACTATAAACTGTTGGCTGTTTGTTTTGGAGTCATTTGCCTTGTTTTGTTGTTGAGCATCGTTGGATTCGTTCTCTACGGTGAGTGTGTGACAACAATCACACATCCTGTAAAAAAGGGGTTGTCATGGTGGGTTTGCTGACTTTGTCACCCTGTGAAAACAAGGCAATCAATCTGTTTCTAAAAAAAGTTTCTAAAAAATTGAAAATGTCTAAATCAAAGCGGTTGGCCTCCCTAGATCCAAACGCTCATTCTTTTTTTATTATTATTATTTATTTATTTTTATGTTTCTATTTCACATTATTTTAAACTGAACACTTCACACATTTAAAAACATTACACAAAGTGCATTTCCACCATCTATTAAGACACGTATTTTTGTTTTGCAGTTGCATTAATTCACAAGAGTGATGAAAACAACCAGTTGAAAGCCAACCAATCAGCTCGGCAAAAGGAAAACGAGAACCTGACAAACTTTAAAATCAAACTGAGTGCAGATGTTGTGAATGTGACGGGCATGTTTGACAACCTGAAAAAAAACTTTACTGTTCTAGAACTCAAGGTCACAAGTCTGACAGCAGAAAACCAAAACCTGACGTCACAAAATGAGAAGCTGAAGACGAGCGAGAAAATCCTCACGGAACAGGTTCAGATGTTGGAGAAAAATCTGACTGAGTTCAACGTGGTTCTGCTTCAGAGGGTCATGGATAACTACTGTCCTAAAGAAAATAACGGTGTGTGACGGATCTCACTGTAATAAACAACAATAACAATGATGCCCGTTGTGATGTTTATCAGTTTATCTTTGTTGTTCCAGACAGGAAGTGTAAACCTTGTCAGAAAGACTGGAACCAGAAGGAGTCCAGCTGTTATGTATATAATAATGCTAAAGGTGCTGAGCAGAGAAGCTGGGCAGGAGCACAAGATGACTGCAAAGAAAAATTGTCTAGTCTGACTGTTATTTCTGATGAAAATGAAAAGGTATTGAAATAACTGAAAAAAAACTTTTTAGAAGTAATATTATTGCTGTGTCAAAGCTGTCAAACAGAAATCACATCTGATTCTTTTGTCATGTTTTCCCAGACTCACGTCTTTACTATCAGTGCTCCGGAAGGTGGAATCAGTGGATTCTGGATCGGTCTCAGAGCCGTAAACAGGACATGGAAATGGATCGATGGAACTGACCTGATCAACCAGTGAGAAACTTCATTTCTTAACACTTGGAGCTAAAAACACATCAGATTTGACATAACTAACGTTTTATCTCTTCTCAGGACGTGGGTGGATAAACCTGCTGCTGATGGTCAGTGTGTAACTTCTCTCAGAGGCTCTGGATGGAGATCAGTGAGCTGTGAGACCAAGAATGCATGGATCTGTGAAAATAAAGCCTTATCCATACCATAGATCTGAAACCTCAGAAATATTTTAAATTAGAGGTTCATTACATTTACCTTCAGTTTAACAATGTATTTCTGAGCATTAGTGTACATTAGTCTGAATGTCTGGGATTAACTGTTTGTCATGTTTGGCTGAGTTAATAAAGTTTTATGAGTTTGATCAACGTTTAGCAGCCAGATGATGAAAGCTGCAGTTAAAAACCTGAGAAGATGTTGCTGATGCTCTTTACAGGTTAGATCAGTCATCCTTGCTGTAATAATGAGAACTCTTCAATTTACCCACAACAAACTGTCTAGACATAAAAACAGAAGTAAAAACCAAACAGTCCTCCTTTTCATCTACCACCCCCACCTGCTGCAGCTACACATCTAGAAGTTTCTTTTCTTCCTCCTAAACTGTAAATAATTTCATTAGAAACAATATAAGTAAATTATGTACAGAGACATCCTAATGTTCACTTTTTGTGCATGTTTTAGAATTATATTAAAGTCTTTAATGTTTTTATTTCAGTGCAGGTATTTGTAAAATTTCTCATTCAAAACTGAAATTTTAGAAAAATGTTTATTACAACAATTAATGGTCCAAAATGTACATATCACAACTCAAAATGTAAATAAAATGTGGTTCAGGTATAATATCTGTAAATATTTGATGTAGTTTGTCATGCCGGCTTCAAAATGAAACTTTCATCTCTCAGCAGGTTCTCTTTGTGTTTTTTCTTTATTACACTGAAGGTTTCTGAACCTCCTGCATCACAAACAGATGATTTAAACACAAAATAACGAGGGAAAACTGATTAATTTTAAACCTTTTTATACATGATGACACCTGTTGGGAATCTGTTTGCATTTAAGTGAATTCTAAATGTAGACACAGTTGAACATGTGACTGATCTACATGTAGCATCAAAACCTGATTATTTCATAAGGTATCATAACACCAGACTGAGATCAGATCTTTGTCCTTTGTGACTGAAAATGTAGAATTTGGCTGAACATTTTAGTTTAATTTTCCATTTAAAATAAAAAGTTTACAGTTAAAATTTCTCTTTAATCAGTAGTTTAGTGATGCTCCGAGTCCTGTCCTGTCTAAAGCAGCCATTGCATCGTCTGCCCTTAATCCACAACTTTACTTTATAATAAGTTTCTGACATTTGATGAAAATGATAAATAACATCAGTGAGTTTAGACCAATTATTATTTACTTAAGTTTATCTGGACGTAGTTTAAATACATTTAATATTTTATAATCTTTGTCCCTGCATGTGTAGCTTTCTCCAGAGCTGCAGCACTTCGTCATTAGACTAATGCTGCAGTTTCACCATCAGAGGGCGGTGTATCTCCATCTGACAATTGCAGCTGTTTTCACAGGATTTATTCATGTTGAATAATGAATCATGATCACATCCTGCAGAAACTAAATTACACGCAGCTCACACTCTGATGCTCATAGCCTAGTGAAGAAGTAATGATCATCTTTTTATTTAGTCAGAAACTTTGGAGAAACGTCTCTGATGAGGAAGCTGATTTGCAGATAAAGGAGGTTTGTGCACGAACGAAAAATTGATGTTTCACATTTAAAGCAGAACTGATAACCACACATTTTGTTGCAAAATGAGACGTTCCACCCAGAGAATATTTTTATTCCTGCTTCTGGCTTCATTTACTGTTGAAAATCAGGCTTTTGTTTCCATAATGAACAGAAAAACACAAAGTCTGGCTGTTCGTTAAGAAAACCCAAATGTTTCCTCGTCTAAGAGTAGGAACACTTTATTACTGTCTTACTTCAGATTGAAAGATATATAATGGGTAAGGCAGAAGTAGGAGCAGTTCTACAAAAGCACATAAAATGGCTGCTTGAGGTAAAAATGTGGCAAAGTGAAGAAATTAACAAAACATGAACTTTAATAAATGTTTAATAACTTTTTTCTGGATAAATATTTGGGGGCCTTTGGATCTGGGAACAAAAAGTTTGTGGACAAAGTTGTCCACTAATATTTTAACATAAAAAATCATAAAAATCTGATCGACTGAAGACAAAAATTACATTTCTGATCTGAGTTCTGGAGGAAATCGAAGAAGCTGATTATATTAATGCATCTGTGAGCTTTTAGAAGGAAGTAAAGGTGGCATCAGGTGTGTCATTGAAGCCATGAATATGAACCTAATATATTAATTATGTTAGATGTTTTAAGTTACAATAAACCACCACAATAAAACACATTTAGAGAGTCTGACTGTGTTAAATAATAAAGTGATGACCCCTTTTCCTCTATCATTCAGATGTTTGTACCTCTGGCAGCTTGTTGGCTCCTCCGAACCAACCAGGCCAACCGAACTCCACTACCCAGCATTCCCAGCGCATCATCATCCTCCACATCCACTGTGAGAAATTTAAAGAGGTTACTCTCTCTTTCCGAGCTTTTATCAAACATTTCTCAAATCAACTGTTTCGTTCTCTCTATCGGCTCCTCCTGTGTTATAGTAGCCACAATTATATGCTCTTTTATTTGATTAGAGGGACGAGTTTACAGAAAGTATTCCCAAATGGTGTAATACAAAAACATTTAAACACAAGCCTTCTTTATCATCTTTAACACATGAAAATCACAAGCAAAATGATTCCCTGATGCATCAACGAGACACATGACTGTAAAATGCTCAGTTTTCTAAATAAAATGGATTAAAACACATTTTTTACAGAAATACAACTGTTTAAAAACTCATCCACATGTTTTTTTATTGTGGTTCTGATGGTAATAAAGTCTCAAAGGTTAAATTTAAAAACCATGCAATTTATCACACATTGAATCACCCACACACATTTCTTTGTGTTAGACAACAGTTACCTCTGTTATTTCTGACAACACAAAACAATTTACAGAACTAAAAAAACTGATAAAGGGATTTCAGCAAGTTTGGAGTCAAAACCAGGAGCTTGGTGCTCAAAATGAGCTCAGTGTGTGTTTATCCCAAAGAAGCATTGATGCCTACCGTCCTCGAGGACATAATGGTGGTGTGTACAGATCCCACTATGCCTAGAAATAATAATCAATAACAGGATGCAGTCATTATGTTTATCAGCTGATTTTTGTTGTTCTGGTGAGGACGTGTAAACCTTGTCAGGAAGGCTGGCTGTTGTACAGGCAGCTGTTATGTATTACGATGCTCCACCAGACAATCAGAGAACAGAAATGCACAAAGTCTGGCTGTTCGTTATGAAAACCCAAATATTTCCTCGTCTAAAGGTAGAAACACTTTATTACTGTCTTACTTCAGATTAAATGGTGTCTAATGGGTAAGGCAGAAGTAGAAACAATTCTAGAAAAGCACTTAATACAGCTGCTTGAGGTAAAAACTGTAGCAAAATGAAGAAGAAATGACAAAAAAATGAACTCTAATTCATTTTTAAATTACTTTTATTCTGGATAAATATTTGGGGACATTTGGATCTGGGAAGAAAACGTTTATGGACAAAGTTGTCCACTAATATTTATTATAAGACTAAAGACTGGATTAATGTTTCTGGTCTGTGTTCTAGAGGAAGTCGAGGAAGCTGATTATATTAATTCAGCCGTGAGATTTAAGAAGGAAGGAAAGCCAGCCTCAGGTTTGTCATCAACACCATGAGCATGAACTTATTACAGTTTTTCCCAATTGTTTACATACATTTCTTTTTATTCTCCCATCAAGCTTTTCTCAATTCTCTTTGCTGAATGACTCCCGGATGTTTACGGTGGCCACTCACAAATATAATGTCAGAGGGGATACATGCCTGCCCCGTAACAGAAGGGTTGCAGGTTAGATCCCAACTAAGTCTGTCACAATTGTTGTGCCCTTGAGCAAGACACTTCATCCTCTTTGCCCAACAGTGGTCAGAGGGACGGGTGGCGCCTGTGTTCAGCAGCCTTGCTTCCTACAGTGCTCCACAGGGCAGCTGTGGCTACGTTGTCATTGCCACCAGTGTGTGAATGTGTGGTTGAATGACTGCTTGTGTTGTAAAGGGCCTTGGGGGGTTGTAGAACCCTAGAAGGTGCTAATACATGCCTAAACTATTTTACCATGACAACAAAAACACTTTCTTTGGAATATGTAATTTTATAATATGTGTTTTTAGCAGGATGTGCAGTGGTTAGAGCTGCTGCCTTGCAGCAAGAAGGTCCTGGGTTCGCTTCCCAGCCTGGGATCTTTCTGCATGGAGTTTGCATGTTCTCCCTGTGCATACGTAGGTTCTCTCCGGGTACTCTGGCTTTCTCCCACAGTCCAGAAACATGACTGTTAGGTTAATTGTTCTGTTTAAAAATGTCCTTAGGTGTGTGTGTGTGTGTGTGTGTGTGTGTGTGTGTGTGTGTGTGTGTGTGTGTGTGTGTGTGTGTGTGTGTGTGTGTGTGTGTGTGTGTGTGTGTGTGTGTGTGTGTGTGGACTGGCTCTCTGTCCATGGTGTACCCCACCTGATTGCCCATTGACCGCTGGAGATAGGCACCAGTCCCCCGGTGACCCTACGTGGACAAAGCGGGTTCAGACGATGGATGGATGGATGGATGTTTTTAGCATCTTTAACACATAAAAATCACCAAAATGGACTTTCCGGATGTATTAACGAGACAAATTACTAACCTGGCAGTTTGCAAAGAAAATCAAGCTAAGAATATATTTTCTACAGTTAAACAACTAACAGAAGATCAGTGAGCTGTGAGACCAATAATGCATGGATCTGTGAGAAGAAGGCCTTATCAGTTTGAATTGGAACTATTTTAATACAGAGAGATTAGGAACATCTTTAGTTGTAAATATTCACTAAATGTATACAATCAGTTTCTCACACTTTTTTTAACTGGTGGGTACTTTTCCAGCCTGCTCCAATAGTCTGTCAGGTCTTCACCTGAGTGTTTGTGTTGTCATGTTCAACTGGGTTGGTAAAGTTTAATGTTTATTAATTTAAGCAGACAGATGATTAAAAGTCAAGTAAAAAACCTGAGAAGATGCTGCTGATGCTCTTTGCAGGTTAAATATTTCGTTCTTGCTGTAATAATAACTGTCTAGACAGAAAAACAGAAGTAAAAACCAAACAGTTCATTTAGTTTATGTGTTGATCAACGCCTCCTACAGCCAAATCTAAAAGTTGCTTCTCATAAACTATAACTTTTTTTTATTAGAAAAATTAGTATTTTGTGAGAAATCCAGACATAATTTTTTTATACATGTTTTATAATTTTATATTATAATCATTTTTATTTGAATCCTGCTTTTTGCTATAATGATTTTCAAATTTCAGATGTTAGAAAAATGTTTAACAGGCTGCGGGCGGGCCTGTGGGCTGGCCACTGATATCTCCCGGGACTCTACCGGCTGCTGGTTGTGCCCCCCAGGGGCGATCCTCTGTGCCTCTCGAGGGGGGCGGGGGCCTTTCTGGTTGCAGTCTCCTTGGGGTTCCTGTGTTCTGGGGCAGCACCTGGAACTCTGGGATTTGGAGCTCCCCCCGTCTCCTGTGCATCTTTGGGGGGGCGGATCTGTGGTCCCTCACACTCTCTGTTGGACGCTCCTATAGAGAAACCTTACATAAACAAGCGCGTGTACACACACAGGTGCTCACATGGTGCTCTCAAAAGTAGGGGCTTGGGCACGTTAAACACAGGTCTTAAGACTATGGTGGGCACTTAATGCACTGTGATTTATTATCGTGATTCTTCAGTTAAGCAATGTTGATTATATATTTTTTCATCAAGTTGACGCAGTAATAGCTAGATCTTGTTGTATTGTTGTTGTGTCCTTTTTTTTTGTTCTTTTGCTTTTTTTTCTGCAGGTCTAGAAGCAGACTCTTGTTCATTGTTTATTTTTGTGGACCCCCCCCCCCCCCCCCCCTCCTCCTCCTCCTCCTCTCTCCCCACCTTTTCTTTTCCTTTCTCTTTCACCTCTGTCTCCGTGTCTGGTCAGAATTACAAAGCATTCAAAAACAATAACAATAAAGTTTTAAGTATCAGGCGTGACATTTAAAGCAAACGCTTTGATGCTCCACCTGAGAGTAAATCTTTAAGGCTCGTCACCAGCATTCAGACATCAATACTGCTTGCTTCACAGCCAGACAGGACAAGGTAAAAAAAAAGAAAAAAGAAAAAAAAATGTTTAATAACTATTGGTCAAAAATGAATTTACGTTTCATAACTCCAAATGTGAATAAAAAGCTGTTCAGGTATAATATCTGTAAATGTTTTCTGTAATTTTTAATGCTGGCTTCAGAATAAAACTTTCTTTTCTCAGGCAGGTTCTCTTTGTGTTTTTTCTTTATTAAACTGAAGGTTTCTGAACCTCCTGCTTCACAAACAGATGATTTAAACACAAAATAAAGAGGAAAAACTGATAAATCTAAAACTTTTCATACATTACAGTGTTAGGTCTGTTGGGATTCAGTTTTAATAGTGTCAGATCTGTTTGCATCAAAGTGAACTTTAAGTGTGAACACAGTTGAACGTGTTGCTGATCTACATGCTGCAGCATCAAAATGTTTAATGATGCACCAACTTAGTCCTCAAACTTACTTGGTGATGACATTGTTTCTGATATTTGAAATAAATGATGAATAAAGTTAGTGTGTTTTCCGACCAATATTATTTACTTTATTATATTTACTTAAATAGTTCAAAATTACATCAATTTTAATTTATTAAAATTTCTAATATTTGTCTTTGTATGTTTTCTTCAGAGCTGCAGCACTTTATCATCAGGCTAATGCTGCAGTTTGACCAGCAGAAGGCGGTGTATCTCCATCTGACAAATGCAACAGTTCACACAGGATTTATGTTGTGAAAAAGGTTCTATATGTCCTATATTTAATTTGTGATATTTTAAATTTCTTTTATCCATTTATGCATATTTGAGACATGTAAATGCAATGAAATGATGATTAACAACCATTATATATGGTGGAGTGGCTCTTTGCTTGATAAAGTCAAACTGGCAGAAGACACAAGAGGGTGAAATGGTGAGGGAGTGGTCTGTTCTCTACACATTCTACATCCAGAACCCCTGAGCCGCTGTTTGTCTTCTTTAAGTATTTAAAAAAATATTGACCTCCAAGTAGTTTAATTTTGACGATGTTTAGATCAGTGATGGAGCATTAAAGGCTGCAGGTGTGCAGAAGTCCCATCATTATACTTCACCTTTCTAGCACCGATCATGCAGCTCTAAATTGCATCCCCAAACATTTTCCGTCTAGGTCACACCTGCATGCATCTAAACAACATTTCCCCTTACAATAGAGCCCAACGACTCATCAGAGGGTAAGGAGGAGGGGTTTTCAGGGTGAGTTTCTGCTCGTTAAGCAACAGTAGAAAGTTACGGTTTAAAAATGTACAGGAAAATGAAAGAAAACAACACAAAGAGAGAAAATTATCTCTGTCTGGCCCCAAAACAAATTCTAATCGGAATCTTGCGTCTTTGAACCTGCAAGGCTCCAACGAAAACTCAGAAGATATGTGGAATGTGCCGTTGCTTTTGCAACTCAACTCTGTCTCCTTTCCCAACCTGGGCGGGACTGCGGGAAGGCCGCTGAAGTGTCCAGGGTCACTGCAACCCTCCAACCCTCAATGCTCCTCCCCCTATCCACACTGAGGTGACATGTGCTGCTTCATTGTGGCTGCAGGAACTGAAGTGGGGATAGTCCCAACCCACCACCCCACCTAGTGGACACTTATGTTGTGTTGTCTGAAGTCTGTTGCATATCTGTCAGAGGTGTTTTTTTTGCAGAGCAACGCTGCCCTCCTGGTGGGAAGGTAACTCTGAAGTGCCTTTTTTTCCCTCCACCTGAACCAATTCTCATGTAACCCCTCTTGTCTCTATTAAGGTACCGCAACTCAGGGTTGCGAATGACCACAGTCACCAATTCTTGTCATGTGTCTTGTCCATGTATGTCTGATCTCTGAACTGTGTGTACTGAAACTCTAATTCCCCTCTGGGATTAATAAAGTATCTTGATTGATTGATTGATTGATTGATTGATGATTGGTTGGTTGGTTGGTTGGTTGATGATTGATTGATTGATTGATTGATTGATTGATTGATTGATTGATTGATTGATTGATTGAAAAGGCTCCAGCCATAACAGATGGAAGAAGGTAGAGTGAACAAGAGAACTGACATGATAATCCAGGGTGAGGTCTGGGTCAAAGGTCACACCAAAATTCCTGACAGAGGGTTTGGTGTCAAAATAAAGCTGACCAAGAGAGTCTCTGACTTTGGGAACAAGCTTGTCTGGGGCACAGATTAAGATCTCAGTCTTATCTTCATTCAGCTGTAGAAAGTTCCCAGCCATCCATGTTTTAATAGAGTCTAAGCAGGTGTGTAACAGCTGCAGCTTAGACATCTCAAGGGGCTTAAAGGAGATGTATAGTTGGATGTCATCTGCATAAAGATGGTATGAGATTCCTGTTACACCCCTTCCTAGGCTAGGAGATCCGGGAAGGAGCAACACAAATAAAGCAGATCTACACCAGAATAAAATAAAGAAAAAGGCATAGCCTCTGCTTGAAAAAAAGGTTTATTAAACCCAAAATAGTTCCTCTATAATAGGCAGGGGTTTAACATAAACACAAAATCTTAACAAAGTCTAAGGGATATAACTAAGAGAGTTTGCTATAAAACACAATGCAAGTGAGACAAGAAAAAGAGGTTAGCAAGTGAAATTATCCTAAGATAAGCACTACAAAACAAGGTGAGCCAACAGGCAGTAACCCGACTCAATAAAAGCTCACAAAGCTAACAAAAGTGATTTGACATTATCCCAGTCACCAAGTCTCTCACAAACAAAGCTCCCGGTGGCTGTAGAGGACTCCAGACAGAATCTGATCCCCTCCCTGAATGGGTGACAAACACGAGTCTTTAAAGGCAGCCCATCAATAGATCTGTTTCATGGAGTGTCGCTCTCCATGGTGCTGAACTTGCTGAGGTGCAGGCAGGGGATCTGAAAAGCAGTGTGTGCTGGAGCGCCGCTCTCCAGGGTGCTGATCCTTTGGGAACTGTCAAACGAGCCTTGAGTTCATGGGGGCTGCTGGACCTTTCAGGATGGGACAGCAACACCCAGGGCTCTTAAAAACTCATTTGAAGGAATTATTATTTCTTCCTATATTTGCTTATCTCCTATTTGTATCTTCTTTTGCACCAAATACTGCAGCCATTTCCCAATGCTGTGATTTCTTGCACATATGGCAATACAACCTTCTGATTCTGACCTATTTACAGAAGTTTTCATTATTCTAGAAAAGAAACAGACCTGGTGCACACAGCTGGGTAGAATGAGGCAGTTTTATTATACTTCATGCCCAGGTAGGCCCATGTTCATCCTATACTCTAATGCTTGAAATCCAAGAGATATAAAATAAGCCCAACAGTGTGATATTTAATATTATTCATATTTTACATTTTTCATTTTTTATAGTAAAAAACATAAAATATCATACAGTTTTCAACAACATTTCGATGGATATTTTTAGAGATTAAAGGTAAAACAACACGAAAACACTTTTTTTCTGAAGTCAAAGACAGGTTTAGCAAGGTCATGCAGAGTTTTTGCTATAGTTCCCCTGAAACCTTCCAAGATGCACTAAATCTTTGCTGCATTGTGATCAGGGAGCTTAAGTCGGGGAGAGTGGTCTATTCTCTACATGCTCATCATCCAGGACCGCTGAGCTGCTTGTCTGTAAGTATTTAAAAATGTAAGTTTTTGTGACCTCCAAGTAGTTGAATTTTGTTCTTGCTTAGATCAGTGACAGCGTGTTAAAGCTGCAGGTGCAAAAGTCCCATCAGCTCCTTCCTCAGACAGCATGGTGATGATGTTTCACTTCTAAGTCTTTACTTAAGGAATTATGATCACAACCTTCAGAAGCTAAATAGCACACAAGAAGCTCATACCCTGATTGCTTGTAGCCTATTAATAAAGTTATGATAATAGTTTTATTTTGTCAGAAACTTTGTAGAAAATTTTGTTCGAGAAGCTGAAAACTGATCTGCAGATACAGGAAGAGGTTTAGTACAAAAAATGATGTTTTCAACTGTAAAGCAGAACTAAAAACCACACATGTTGCTGCAAAATAAGAAGTTCCACCTCTTGAGCACATTTGTATTCCTGCTTGTGACTTCATTGATTGTTGAAGCTCTGGCTTCTTTTGTCACAATGATCAAGAAGGCACAACGTCCAGCTGTCACTTTGTCTAAAGGTAGGAACACTTTATTACTTTATTACTTTATTACAGTAATAATATTTAAACAATCATAAAACTTCTGAGGAAATTAGATTAAATTACTGGAAAATGAACTCTAATTCATTTGTGAATACATTTTTCTGTATAAACATTTGGATCTGAGAAAAAATTTTGTGGAGGAAATATTTTTGCCGATGTTTCTTTTTTTCAAAGTTATTAAGTGGAAGAGTTCAAGTAGTCAGGAAAAATGGAGCGGGAGATCAATAGCCTGATTGGTGCTGCGTCTGCAGTGATGTGGGCGTTGTACCAGTCTGTCGCGGTGAAGAGAGAGCGGATGATAATGGCTTGATGGATGGAAATCAATTATTGTTTTTGATCTGTGTTTTCTAGAGGATGGTGAAGAAGCTGATTATATTAATTCAGCCGTGAGCTTTAAGAAGGAAGTAAAGGCAACATCAGGTATGCCATCAACACTGAGAATGACACACACACGCACGCACACACACACACACACACACACACACATTCACATATATATCTATATATACATCTATATCTATATCTATATATATATATATATATATAGATATATAGATATATATGTAAATGTGTGTGTGTGTGTGTGTGTGTGTGTGTGTGTGTGTGTGTGTGTGTGTGTGTGTGTTTCACAAACAAGTTACAAAAAACCTCACATTACAACACATTAAGAAAACTAAAGCAAATGTTGATCTTTCTATCAGGTCGCACCTTTTCCTCCTTTATTCAGACGTTTGTTTCACTGGCAGCTTGTTGGCTCATCCTGCTGCTCATCATCATCCTCCACATCTACTGTGAGTTCTCATCAGTCTCACCTTTAATGCACAAACGTAAAGTAGGGGTACACAAACCTGGTCCGGCATGTATTTGTTGTTTCTCAGCACCAACACAGGTGTGTCCAAGTGTACCAGATCTCTACCAAATTGTGTGTTTCATGCTGGATAGCGACACTCCAGGACCAGGACTGCCTATCATTTGCTTTTAGGAGCCTTTTTAAAAAAAAATTCTAACAAAATTGTCTTTGCTGTAATGACTAGTTCTGTTGATGGTGGTCACTTACAAACACATGTTGACTTTAAAACCTTCACATCATCTGATATGTAGAACTGTTTTAAATATCTAAACGTAAAACAAGTATTTTTTATCTTTTACTGATTAACATGACTAGAAAAGGGATTTACTGATGTATCGAGACAAAAAATTACAAACTTTGGGGTTTTCTAAACCTGACTATAAAATAAGTCTGCAGTTAAACTGCTGATTAAAAACTCATAAATACAGTTTATTGTTGTGGATGCAACTGGAATAAGCAAAAAATGTTCTACTGCTATTTTTCCACTATGAATTCCAAACACTCTTCTTTTTGCAGATATCTCTGTTATTTCTGACAAAAACACAAAACAAAAGGCAGAAATTAAAAACCTGATGTCACAAAATGAGAAGCTGAAGACGAACGAGAAATTCCTCACGGAACGGGTTCAGATGTTGGAGAAAAATCTGAATGAGTTCAACGTGGTTCTGCTTCAGAGGGTCGTGGATAACTACTGTCCTAAAGAAAATAACGGTGTGTGACGGATCTCACTGTAATAAACAACAATAACATGATACGTATTATGATGTTTATCAGCTGATCTTTGTTGTTCCAGACAGGAAGTGTAAACCTTGTCAGAAAGACTGGAACCAGAAGGAGTCCAGCTGTTATGTATATAATAATGCTAAAGGTGCTGAGCAGAGAACCTGGGCACGAGCACAAGATGACTGCAAAGAAAAATTGTCTAGTCTGACTGTTATTTCTGATGAAAATGAAAAGGTATTGAAATAACTGAAAAAAAAAATAAAAACTTTTTTAAAGTAATATTATTGCAGTATCAAAGCAGTCACACAGAAATCACGTCTGATTCTTTTTTCATGTTTTCCCAGACTCACGTCTTTAGTATCAGTGCTCCGGAAGGTGGAATCAGTGGATTCTGGATCGGTCTCAGAGCCGTAAACAGGACATGGAAATGGATCGATGGAACTGACCTGATCAACCAGTAAGAAACTTCATTTCTTAACACTTGGAGCTAAAAACACATCAGATTTGACATAACTAACGTTTTATCTCTTCTCAGGACGTGGGTGGATCAACCTGCTGCTGATGGTCAGTGTGTAACTTCTCTCAGAGGCTCTGGATGGAGATCAGTGAGCTGTGAGACCAAGAATGCATGGATCTGTGGAAATAAAGCCTTATCCATACCATAGATCTGAAACCTCAGAAACATTTTAAATTAGAGGTTCATTACATTTACCTTCAGTTTAACAATTTATTTATGAGCATTAGTGTACATTAGTCTGAATGTCTGGGATTAACTGTTTGTCATGTTTGGCTGAGTTAATAAAGTTTTATGAGTTTGATCAACGTTTAGCAGCCAGATAATGAAAGCTGCAGTTAGAAACCTGAGAAGATGCTGCTGATGCTCTTTACAGGTTACATCAGTCATCCTTGCTGTAATAATGAGAACTCTTCACTTTACCCACAACAAACTGTCTAGACATAAAAACAGGAGTAAAAACCAAACAGTCCTCCATTTCATCCACCACCCCCACCTGCTGCAGCTACACATCTAGAAGTTTCTTTTCTTCCTCCTAAACTGTAAATAATTTCATTAGAAACAATATAAGTAAATTATGTACGGAGACATCCTAACGTTCACTTTTTGTGCATGTTTTAGAATTATATTAAAGTATTTAATGTTTTTATTTCAGTCCAGGTATTTGTAAAATTTCTCATTCAAAACTGAAATTTTAGAAAAATGTTTATTACAACAATTAATGGTCCAAAATGTACATATCACAACTCAAAATGTAAATAAAATGCAGTTCAGGTATAATATCTGCAAATATTTGATGTAGTTTGTCATGTCGGCTTCAAAATGAAATAAGATCTTTAATGAATCATGATCACATCCTGCAGAAACTAAATTACACGCAGCTCACACCCTGATGCTCATAGCCTAGTGAAGAAGCAATGATCATCTTTTTATTTAGTCAGAAACTTTAGAGAAATGTCTCTGATGAGGAAGCTGATCTGCAGATGAAGGAGGTTTGTGCACGAACTAAAAATTGATGTTTCACATTTAAAGCAGAACTGACAACCACACATTTTGTTGCAAAATGAGACGTTCCACCCAGAGAATATTTTTATTCCTGCTTCTGGCTTTGTTGACTGTTGAAAATCAGGCTTTTGTTTCCATAATGAACAGAAAAGCACAAAGTCTGGCTGTTCGTTATGAAAACCCAAATGTTTCCTCATCCAAAGGTAGGAACACTTTATTACTGTCTTACTTCAGATTAAAAGATATATAATAGGTAAGGCAGAAGTAGGAGCAGTTCTACAAAAGCACATAAAACGGCTGCTTGAGGTAAAAATGTGGCAAAGTGAAGAAATGAATGAAACATGAACTCTAATTAATTTTTAATTACTTATTTCTGGATAAATATTTGGGGGCCTTTGGATCTGGGAACAAAAAGTTTATGGACAAAGTTGTCCACTAATATTTATTATAAGACTAAAGACTAGATTAATGTTTCTGATCTGTGTTCTGGAGGAAATCGAAGAAGCTGATTATATTAATTCATCTGTGAGCTTTTAGAAGGAAGTAAAGGCGGCATCAGGTGTGTCATTGAAGCCATAAATATGAACCTAATATATTAATTATATTAGATAATTGAAGTTATAATAAACCACCACAATAAAACACATTTAGAGAGTCTGACTGTGTTAAATAATAAAGTGATGACCCCTTTTCCTCCATCATTCAGATGTTTGTACCTCTGGCAGCTTGTTGGCTCCTCCTGCTGCTCATCATCATCCTCCACATCCACTGTGAGAAATTTAAAGTGGGTATTCTCTCTTTCTGAGCTTTAATCAAACATTTCTCAAATCAACTGTTTCCTTCTCTCTATCGGCTCCTCCTGTCTTACAGTAGCCACAATTATATGCTGTTTTATTTGATTAGAGGGACGAGTTTACAGAAAGTATTCCCAAATGGTGTAATACAAAAACATTTAAACACAAGCCTTCTTTATCATCTTTAACACATGAAAATCACAAGCAAAAGGATTCCCTGATGCATCAATGAGACATATGACTGTAAAATGTTCAGTTTTCTAAATAAAATGGATTAAAACACATTTTGTACAGAAATAAAACAGGATAAAAACTCATCCGCATGTTTTTTAATTGTGGTTCTGATGGTAATAAAGTCTCAAAGGTTCAATTTAAAAACCAAGTAATTTATCACACATTGAATCACCCACACACATTTTTTTGTGTTAGACAACAGTTACCTCTGTTATTTCTGACAACACAAAACAATTTACAGAACTAAAAAAACTGATAAAGGGGATTTCAGCAAGTTTGGAGTCAGAACCAGGAGCTTGGTGCTCAAAATGAGCTCAGTGTGTGTTTATCCCAAAGAAGCATTGATGCCTACCGTCCTCGAGGACATAATGGTGGTGTGTACAGATCTCACTATGCCTAGAAATAATAATCAATAACAGGATGCAGTCATTATGTTTATCAGCTGATCTTTGTTGTTCTGGTGAGGACGTGTAAACCTTGTCAGGAAGGCTGGCTGTTGTACAGGCAGCTGTTATGTATTACGATGCTCCACCAGACAATCAGAGAACAGAAACGCACAAAGTCTGGCTGTTCGTTATGAAAACCCAAATATTTCCTCGTCTAAAGGTAGGAACACTTTATTACTGTCTTACTTCAGATTAAATGGTGTCTAATGGGTAAGGCAGAAGTAGAAAGAGTTCTAGAAAAGCACTTAATACAGCTGCTTGAGGTAAAAACTGTAGCAAAATGAAGAAGAAATGACTAAAAATGAACTCTAATTCATTTTTATATTACTTTTATTCTGGAGAAATATTTGGGGACATTTGGATCTGTGCACAAAACGTTTATGGACAAAGTTGTCCACTAATATTTATTTTAAGACTAAAGACTAGATTAATGTTTCTGGTCTGTGTTCTAGAGGAAGTCGAGGAAGCTGATTATATTAATTCAGCCGTGAGATTTAAGAAGGAAGGAAAGCCAACCTCAGGTTTGTCATCAACACCATGAGCATGAACTTATTACAGTTTTTCCAAATTGTTTACATACATTTCTTTTTATTCTCTCATCAAGTTTTTCTCAATTCTCTTTGCTGAATGACTCCCGGATGTTTACGGTGGCCACTCACAAATATAATGTCAGAGGGGATACATGCCTGCCCCGTAACAAAAGGGTTGCAGGTTAGAGCCCCACTCAGTCTGTCACAGTTGTTGTGCCATTGAGCAAGACATTTCATCTTCTTTGCCCAAAAGTGGTCAGAGGGACGGGTGGTGTCTGTGTTCAGCAGCCTCACTTCCTACAGTGCTCCACAGGGCAGCTGTGGCTACGTTGTCATTGCCACCAGTGTGTGAATGTGTGGTTGAATGACTGATTGTGTTGTAAAGGGCACCAGCATCCCCGCGACCCTACGTGGACAAAGCGGGTTCAGACAATGGATCGATGGATATTTTTAGCATCTTAAAAATCATCAAAAAGGACTTTCCAGATGTATTAAGACAATTAATTACTAACCTGGCAGTTTGCAAAGAAAATCAAGCTAAGAATATATTTTCTACAGTAAAACAACTAGTTAAAAACTTGTAAATTCCCATTTTTTGTCACCATAAATCTAGCAGTAGAAATTAATAAAGTCTTAAAGTCATTTTTTGAAAAACTGCTACTTTCATTACAATTATCCAAAATCCACTGTTTTCTTTTTCTGCAGTTACTTCTGTTATTTCTGACAACAGCACAAAACTGAAGGTAGAACAGTAAAACCTGACATCCCAAAATAAGGTGCTGAAGATGGAAAATGCAAACCTGATAAAGGACTTCTACAACCTGACTGCTGTGTATGGCCACCTGAGAGAAAAGGTTCAGTACGTAGAAAATAATCTGAATGAAACTGAGTCTTGCTCAGTGGAGCGTTGATGCCTACTATCGCATCAACGGTGCCGGTATGTACGGATCTCATTCATTGTATTAATAAAAAATAATAATTAACAGTCTCAGTCATTCATATTGTTAACGTGTGTGCATTTTTGTTGTTTCAGCAAGAACATGTAATCCTTGTCAGGATGGATGGCTGCTGAACCAGTCCAGGTGTTATCAACATATCGCTCAACCTGCTGATGGGAGAACCTGGGCAGGAGCACAAGCTGACTGCAGAGGAAGATTTTCAGATCTGACGCTGATGACCAGGAAAAAGTAATAAAATTGTTATGAAAAAGCTGTTATTTAAATTAAAATTGAAACTAAATAATGTCTGATCATTTTTTCATAATTTCCCAGAATCACGTCTTTACTATCAGTTCCCCTGAAAATGGAATCCCTGGATTCTGGATCGGTCTCGGAGCTGTAAACGGAACATGGAAATGGATCGATGGAACTGACCTGACCAACCAGTGAGAAACTTTTATTTATTAACACCTGGAGCTAAAAACACGTCAGCTTTGACATACCGGTAACTAACATTTTATCTCTTCTCAGGACGTGGGTGGATCAACCTGCTGCTGATGGTCAGTGTGTAACTTCTCTCAGAGGCTCTGGATGGAGATCAGTGAGCTGTGAGACCAAGAATGCATGGATCTGTGAGAAGAAGGCCTTATCAGTTTGAATTGGAAATATTTTAATACAGAGAGATTAGGAACATCTTTAGTTGTAAATATTCACTAAATGTATACAATCAGTTACTCACACTTTTTTTAACTGGTGGGTACTTTTCCAGCCTGCTCCAATAGTCTGTCAGGTCTTCACCTGAGTGTTTGTGTTGTCATGTTCAACTGGGTTGGTAAAGTTTAATGTTTATTAGTTTGAGCAGACTGATGATTAAAAGTCAAGTAAAAAACCTGAGAAGATGCTGCTGATGCTCTTTGCAGGTTAAATATTTCGTTCTTGCTGTAATAATAACTGTCTAGACAGAAAAACAGAAGTAAAAACCAAACAGTTCATTTAGTTTATGTGTTGATCGAACGCCTCCTGCAGCCAAATCTAAAAGTTGCTTCTCATAAACTATAAATAATTTTAATTAGAAAAATTAGTAATTTGTGAGAAATCCAGACATAATTTTTTATACATGTTTTATAATTTTATATTATAATCATTTTTATTTGAATCCTGTTTTCTGCTATAATGATTTTCAAATTTCAGATGTTAGAAAAATGTTTAATAACTATTGGTCAAAAATGTATTTCCGTTTCATAACTCAAAATGTGAATAAAATGCTGTTCAGGTATAATATCTGTAAATGTTTTATGTAATTTTTTATGCTGGCTTCTGAATAAAACGTTCTTTTCTCAGACAGGTTCTCTTTGTGTTTTTTCTTTATTAAACTGAAGGTTTCTGAACCTCCTGTTTCACAAACAGATGATTTAAACACAAAATAAAGAGGAAAAACTGATAAATCTAAAACTTTTTATACATTACAGTGTTAGGTCTGTTGGGACTCAGTTTCAATAGTGTCAGATCTGTTTGCATCAAAGTGAGCTTTAAGTGTGAACACAGTTGAACATGTTGCTGATCTACATGCTGCAGCATCAAAATGTTTAATGATGCACCAACTTAATCCTCAAACTTACTTGGTGATGACATTGTTTCTGATATTTGATGTAAATGATGAATAAAACAATAGTGTTTTGACCATTATTATATACTTTATTATATTTACTTAAATAGTTCAAAATTACATCTATTTTAATTTATTAAAATTTCTAATATTTGTCTTTGTATGTTTTCTTCAGAGCTGCAGCACTTTGTCATCAGGCTAGTGCTGCAGTTTGACCAGCAGAAGGCGGTGTATCTCCATCTGACAAATGCAACAGTTCACACAGGATTTATTTATGTTGTGAAAAAGGTTCTATATGTCCTATATTTACTTTTTAATATTTTAAATTTCTTTTATCCATTTATGCATATTTGAGCCATGTAAATGCAATGAAATGATGATTAACAACCATTATATATGGTGGAGTGGCTCTTTGCTTGATAAAGTCAAACTGGCAGAAGACACAAGAGGGTGAAATGGTGAGGGAGTGGTCTGTTCTCTACACATTCTACATCCAGAACCCCTGAGCCGCTGTTTGTCTTCTTTAAGTATTTAAAAAAATATTGACCTCCAAGTAGTTTAATTTTGACGATGTTTAGATCAGTGATGGAGCATTAAAGGCTGCAGGTGTGCAGAAGTCCCATCATTATACTTCACCTTTCTAGCACCGATCATGCAGCTCTAAATTGCATCCCCAAACATTTTCCGTCTAGGTCACACCTGCATGCATCTAAACAACATTTCCCCTTACAATAGAGCCCAACGACTCATCAGAGGGTAAGGAGGAGGGGTTTTCAGGGTGAGTTTCTGCTCGTTAAGCAACAGTAGAAAGTTACGGTTTAAAAATGTACAGGAAAATGAAAGAAAACAACACAAAGAGAGAAAATTATCTCTGTCTGGCCCCAAAACAAATTCTAATCGGAATCTTGCGTCTTTGAACCTGCAAGGCTCCAACGAAAACTCAGAAGATATGTGGAATGTGCCGTTGCTTTTGCAACTCAACTCTGTCTCCTTTCCCAACCTGGGCGGGACTGCGGGAAGGCCGCTGAAGTGTCCAGGGTCACTGCAACCCTCCAACCCTCAATGCTCCTCCCCCTATCCACACTGAGGTGACATGTGCTGCTTCATTGTGGCTGCAGGAACTGAAGTGGGGATAGTCCCAACCCACCACCCCACCTAGTGGACACTTATTTTGTGTAATGTCTGAAGTCTGTTGCATATCTGTCTGAGGTGTTTTTTTTTTTTGTTTTTTTTTTGCAGAGCAAAGCTGCCCTCCTGGTGGGAAGGTAACTCTGAAGTGCCTTTTTCCCTCCACCTGAACCAATCCTCATGTAACCCCTCTTGTCTCCATTGAGGTACCGCAACTCAGGGTTGTGAATGAGCACAGTCACAAATTCTTGTCATGTGTCTTGCCTCATGTCTGATCTCTGAACTGTGTGTACAGAAACTCTAATTCCCCTCTGGGATTAATAAAGTATCTTGATTGATTGATTGATTGATTGATTGATTGATTGATTGATTGATTGATTGATTGATTGATGATTGGTTGGTTGGTTGATTGGTTGGTTGGTTGATGATTGATTGATTGATTGATTGATTGATTGATTGATTGATTGATTGATTGATTGATTGACTGAAAAGTCTCCATCCATAACAGATGGAAGAAGGTTGAGTGAACAAGAGAACTGACATGATAATCCAGGGTGAGGGCTGGGTCAAAGGTCACACCAAGATTCCTGACAGAGGGTTGGGTGTCAGAAGCAAACTGACCAAGAGAGTCTCTGACTTTGGGAACAAGCTTGTCTGGGGCACAGATTAAGATCTCAGTCTTATCTTCATTCAGCTGTAGAAAGTTCCCAGCCATCCATGTTTTAATAGAGTCTAAGCAGGTGTGTAACAGCTGCAGCTTAGACATCTCATGGGGCTTAAAGGAGATGTATAGTTGGATGTCATCTGCATAAAGATGGTATGAGATTCCTGTTACTCCCCTTCCTAGGCTAGGAGATCCGGGAAGGAGCAACACAAATAAAGCAGATCTACACCAGAATAAAATAAAGAACAAGGCATAACCTCTGCTTGAAAAAGGTTTATTAAACCCAAAATAGTCCCTCTACAATAGGCAGGGGTTTAACATAAACACAAAATCTTAACAAAGTCTAAGGGATATAAATAAGAGAGTTTGCTATAAAACACAATGCAAGTGAGACAAGAAAAAGAGGTTAGCAAGTGAAATTATCCTAAGACAAGCACTACAAAACAAGGTGAGCCAACAGGCAGTAACCCGACTCAATCAAAGCTCACAAAGCTAACAAAAGTGATTTGACATTATCCCAGTCACCAAGTCTCTCACAAACAAAGCTCCCGGTGGCTGTAGAGGACTCCAGACAGAATCTGATCCCCTCCCTGAATGGGTGACAAACACAAGTCTTTAAAGCACCTTGGGCTTCCTGGCAGGGTTGCGGAAGACACTTTATAAACAAAGCTTTGATTGATTGATTGATTGATTGATTGATTGATTGATTGATTGATTGATTAAAGGCAGCCCATCAAGAGATCTGTTCCATGGAGTGTCGCTCTCCATGGTGCTGAACATGCTGAGGTGCAGGCAGGGGATATGGAAAGCAATGTGTGCTGGAGCGCCGCTCTCCAGGGTGCTGATCCTTTGGGAACCGTCAAACGAGCCTTGAGTTCATGGGGGCCACTGGACCTTTTAGGATGGGACAGCAACACCCAGGGCTCGTAAAAAATTCATTTGAAGGAATTATTATTTCTTCCTACATTTGCTTATCTCCTATTTGTATCTTCTTTTGCACCAAATACTGCAGCCATTTCCCAGTGCTGTGATTTCTTGCATGTATGGCAATACAACCTTCTGATTCTGGCCTATTTACAGCAGTTTTCATTATTCTAGAAAAGAAACAGACCTGATGCACACAGCTGAGTAGAATGAGGCAGTTTAATTATACTTCATGCCCAGGTAGGCCCACGTTCATCCTATACTCTAATGCTTGAAATCCAAGAGATATAAAATAAGTCCAACAGTGTGATATTTAATATTATTCATATTTTACATTTTTCATTTTTTATAGTAAAAAACATAAAATATCATACAGTTTTCAACAACATTTCGATGGATATTTTTAGAGATTAAAGGTAAAACAACACGAAAACACTTTTTTTCTGAAGTCAAAGACAGGTTTAGCAAGGTCATGCAGAGATTTTGCTATAGTTCCCCTGAATCTTTCCAAGATGCACAAAATCTTTGCTGCATTGTGATCAGGGAGCTTAAGTCGGGGAGAGTGGTCTATTCTCTACATGCTCGTCATTGTAATGTGATGAAATATGGGTTTTCTGTGCAAAAGGTCATTTGACTCGGCTGGGTCAAAGAGCTGGGTCGCTGAGAACTTTCACCCACAGATTGAGACCTTTGCAGACATGAAGTCTGCAAGAGTCTGCTGGAAACTATAACATCTGAACACCTGCAGTACCAGAAGAAGGAGTTCTCATGGACAAGTAGTCATAACATAACAAGTCTTAAAACGTCCTTTCTTGATTTTAATGTTAAAGAATAATCATTATCATTTTGCTCATTATAAATGTGTTTAATCAAATGAATGATTCTTATGCTTTGGGTAATTATAATGGATTAATGAATCCATACTTAATTAGATAATGTTTGAGGATGTTTGTTACCGACCTTCACACACACACTCAAGCACACACACACTCAAACACACCCACACACAGATTCTCACAGTAAACTCCAAAACACATTTGCTGGCGCACACGTTTGCTTTGAGAAGAGAAAGGCTTTTGGTAAGTTTCAGTCTTATGATTTCAGTTCGTGCTTGACAACGAAAGAGAGAGGACCTGAAGAAACCGAAGGGGGGACAGAGCCGGTTGCCCCCCCACCCCCCACCCCCCCACCCCACCCCCCATCACGCTGTTCCTGTCAGCCAGACAGAATAGCTGAATCGCAACTTCTAACGCAGACTCATACAGAGTTTTTGATTTCTGAGTGAATTAACTTAAGAAAGCGCATCGACAAAACGCTTTACCATCAACGTGTACCGAGGGCAACTTTGGACCGGTTCGCGGCGCATCTTTGACTTCTTTGCCAGCCAAGGTGCCCTGGATGAAACATCATCCTAAGGTGACGTCCCGGGTCCAACAGGGGGTCCGATTTTCGGTGCGGCAGAACACGACAGATAGCGTTTTGATGCATCTTTTCCAACTAAACCTAAGTTTATTCAAACCATCACTTTTCACTCAGACACCTGTTTCTTCCTGAATCAAAATCAGATGCACACACACATTCATCTCACCTCATGTTCAATTCTCACTACACTTTGCACACACGCATCCATAATCACATCATATCACTCAACCTTCAGCACCTCCAACACAAGGTCTATTTGAGCAAGAACAGCATATCAACTGTTAAAGATTGTCCCACAAAGTTGCCAATGTTGATTGTTATTTCCTGTTTGTCAATTTCAAAATCATTTGTTTAATTTGAAGAATTAAAACTTTTAATTGTGAAATTTGTTTCTTCATTGAACTGAAACACAGACCCACGGATATGATCGACAGTTTATCGATGAAAACAACCTTTGAGTCTTCTTAAAACTATACAATTTGGTTATTAATTTAATAAAATTAATATCACAAATTAACACGTAGAATGGTTCCTCTTTCATAAAAGAGCTTAAACCACAACGCTACATCATCCAGGACCGCTGAGCTGCTTGTCTGTAAGTATTTAAAAATGTAAGTTTTTGTGACCTCCAAGTAGTTGAATTTTGTTTTTGCTTAGATCAGTGACAGCGCATTAAAGCTGCAGGTGCAAAAGTCCCATCAGCTCCTTCCTCAGACTGCATGATGATGATGCTTCACTTCTAAGTTGTGACTTAAGGAATTATGATCACAACCTTCAGAAGCTAAATAGCACACAAGAAGCTCATACCCTGATTGCTAGTAGCCTATTAATAAAGTTATGATAATCGTTTTATTTTGTCAGAAATTTTGTAGAAAAATTTGTTCTGAGAAGCTGAAAACTGATCTGCAGATACAGGAAGAGGTTTAGTACTAAAAAATGATGTTTTCAACTGTAAAGCAGAACTAAAAACCACACATGTTGCTGCAAAATAAGAAGTTCCACCTCTTGAGCACATTTGTATTCCTGCTTGTGACTTCATTGATTGTTGAAGCTCTGGCTTCTTTTGTCACAATGAACAAGAAAGCACAACGTCCAGCTGTCACTTTGTCTAAAGGTAGGAACACTTTATTACTTTATTACTTCAGATTAAAAAGTCTTTAATTGAAAAAAAAAATAAAATAAAAATATATGCAGTGATGCGGGCATTGTACCAGTCTGTCGCGGTGAAGAGAGAGCGGATGATAATGGCTTGATGGATGGAAATCAATTATTGTTTTTGATCTGTGTTTTCTAGAGGATGGTGAAGAAGCTGATTATATTAATTCAGCCGTGAGCTTTAAGAAGGAAGTAAAGGCAACACCAGGTGTGCCATCAACACTGAGAATGACACACACACACACACACACACACACACATATATATATATATATATATATATATATATATATATATATGAAAATGTGTGTGTGTGTGTGCTAAGTTAATTATTACGGTTGTTTAAAGTTACATAAAACCTCACATCACAACGCATTAAAGTGACTTTAGAGAAAAATAAAGCAAATGTTGATCTTTCTATCAGGTCGCACCTTTTCCTCCTTTATTCAGACGTTTGTTTCACTGGCAGCTTGTTGGTTCATCCTGCTGCTCATCATCATCCTCCACATCTACTGTGAGTTTCTCATCAATCTCACCTTTAATGCACAAACGTAAAGTAGGGGTACACAAACCTGGTCCGGCATGTTTTTGTTGTTTCTCTGCACCAACACAGGTGTGTCCAAGTGTACCAGATCTCTACCAAATTGTGTGTTTCATGCTGGATAGCGACACTCCAGGACCAGGACCTATCTTTTACTTTTAGGAGCTTTTAAAAAAAAATTCTAACAAAATTGTCTTTGCTGTAATGACTAGTTCTGTTGATGGTGGTCACTTACAAACACATGTTGACTTTAAAATCTTCACATCATCTGAAATGTAGAACTGTTTTAAATATCTAAACGTAAAACAAGTTTTTTTTTTATCTTTTACTGATTAACATCACTAGAAAAAGGATTTACTGATGTACTGAGACAAAAAATTACAAACTTTGGGGTTTTCTAAACCCGACTATAAAATAAGTCTGCAGTTAAACTGCTGATTAAAAACTCATAAATACAGTTTATTGTTGTGGATGCAACTGGAATAAGCAAAAAATGTTCTACTGCTATTTTTCCACTCTGAATTCCAAACACTCTTTTCTTTTTGCAGATATCTCTGTTATTTCTGACAAAAACACAAAACAAAAGGCAGAAATTAAAAACCTGAAGTCACAAAATGAGGAGCTGAAGATAAAAGAGAAAAATCTCAATGAAAAGTGTCAGATCTTTGAGAAAACTCAAAATGAGCTCAATGTGAGTCGAGCTCAGTGGAGCGTTGATGCCTACTGTCCTAAACTTAAGAACGGTGTGTACGGATCTCCCTATGAGGTAATCAACAGTAACACGATGCAGTCATCATGTTCATCAGCTGATCTTTGTTCTAGTGAGGAAGTGTGAATCTTGTCAGGATGCATGGCTGGTGCAGCAGTCCAGCTGTTATGAATATAATGATGCTCCACCTTCTGAGCAGAGAACCTGGGCAGGAGCACGAGACGACTGCAGAGGGAAGAGCTCTGATCTGGCTGTTGCTGCTGATGAACAAGAAAGAGTAATGAAATAACTTTCAAACAACTTTTTTGAAAATTAAATTTTACAAACTAGAAATCATTAATCACATCTGATCTTTTTTCCCTCAGAATTATATTGTCGATAGACTGAGTCCTGTTACAGAAGGAATCAATGGATACTGGATCGGGGTCAGAGCCAGAAACAGGACATGGAAATGGATCAATGGAACTGACCTGTTCGACCAGTGAGAAACATTATTTATGAACAATTCAAGCTACAACTTATCAGCTTTGTCAAAACTTAAGTTTTATCTCTTCCCAGAGGTTGGGTGGATCAACCTGCTGCTGATGGTCAGTGTGTAACGTCTCTCAGCAACAGAGGGTGGAGATCAGCGAGCTGTAATGACAAGAATGGATGGATCTGTGAAAAGAAGGCCTTATTAGTTTAAAATGGAAATATTTGGAATTTCAGATCATTAGAAAAATGAAAACACATAAAAGGTCAAAATGATATTTTGTACTTTTCTTCAACTTTGAGGTGCAGCTCAGATTTGATCTGCAGTCTGATGAATGCCAGCTCAGTTTTGTGATTAACTTTTTTAAACATTGAGGTTGAATATTTGGATGCAGCTGAGAGAAAAAGATGTTTTTGATTTTTATTTGATTTTATGAACTCACCATAAGCGTTAAGCGTGTAATTTAATCCTTGCTTTATCCAAAAACATTCTGGTTTTGGTTGTAAACGATTGCTTCATGTTCTCGTGCAATTAAAGGAACGTTTTAGCTGAAAGTGTTTTTATTTAAGCAACGATTAAAGAAGAAGTCGAGCCTGAGGAAATGTCACCATACTTTGTGGTTGAAAATGTGAAAGCACAAACAACCTCTGAGTATTAAAGTTGTGAAGAGGAAAAAAACTGAAAAGATTTGTGCGTGCGTAACACTGGATTTGTAACTTGTGCTTCCCTTTTTGTGTGTAACTTTGGTTCCTGCGTGGACAAATAGTTAAATACGCACACAGGCACCACCTCACACACACATACAAACTACTTTAACACACAGATCAGTTTACAAAGAGACTCTTTTCATGCTTCTGGGAGCCCGACTTATCCGTGCAGACGTGGTGCGTTTAAATGCTGGGTGAAAGCTGGAACATTTGAATTTTCTTTGGAGAACCTCTAAACCTATTCCCCCGCAAACTTGTGCTGAACGTGCAACAATGTTTTCCAGTGGAAAAAAAGAACACCTTAGCAGCTCTTATGTATAAAAGGTAGACCTACATTTACTTTTTGACATTTTAAAATTGTTTGTTTAGAGAATTATGCATTTTTGACCCATTCAAACATGATGAAATCTTTCTAGAAACCACCACCAGATGGTGGAGTTGTTATTTGGCTGAAAAAGGGAGAAGATGGAAGAGGGCAGTGACGGCAGGGTGTCCTGGTGGTCCAATGTCATCACCATCATAGCGCCTCTCAAGATAAAGATCAGTTCATTAACGTGTAAAACTCAAAACCTACTAGCAACATAAGGCTTTCCTTATAATTCTATTTTCTATAATTCTATCAAATTTACAATTTATGATAATGATAAACGACCCACACTTGTATAGCGCCTCTCAGAGTAAGGACTCCAAAGCGCTTTACACTACAGTGTATCATGCATCCATTCACACACACATTCACACACTGATGGTGATGAGCTACTATGTAGCCACAGCTGCCCTTGGGCGCACTGACAGAGGCCTGCGGGGGTATGGTACACAAACGGCTACAACTACAAATCCAGGATGAAGGCGCGATTTAGACTTCTGCACACCTGCAGCCTTTATTGCTCCATCACTGATCCAAACTTTATACATTCAGGATCCGACCTCCATGTTTTCCGTATCAGAATAGCTGTTTGACAAAACCTGAAACTCAACAGGTGGTTCTGGTTCTGTGGACCCAGGTTTCCTTCTTCTGTGTCTGGGATCACATACAAATGGATATTTTACATTTCATTTCATTCCTAAAATAATCACTGAGAAATAAAAAGTTATTATTGCCAGAAACGGGGCAAGACTTTTTGTTGCATAAATGTACTGCCCACTACAGAGCACCTAAGGTATGATATGTCCATGAACACTGGTCTTATCAAAATAAAAGCATCTAATTCAGAACTCTATACAAAATGTTCAGTGTGTTTATGGTGCAGCTAAAACATTCATCTGATCCTGCAGTACAACAACACTTCTATCAGCTAATATTATGAGCTAAGCTGTTTGTTGACATAAACTATATCACACTGAGGAAAAAATACAAGAAATAAAAGAAAATCTAAACTTTATTTATTTGGGGGGAAAAACACTAGTATGTTCCTTGATTATTGCCTTAATAGTTTTACCAATTGGCTTCATATTCTAATTCTTGTTGCCCTAAATTAATAAAAAATGCCAAAAAAAATTTTTTCATCATCACATGTTTACATTTAAAACCTTCATCAATCCCCAGTATTAATGTTGGGTTTTTATGGTAGTGTATAGTGTCCTGGCGCTAGGGGGCACCATTTACACCACATTGCCGTGAACATTATGGTAAATGTTGCTACCTGTGGAGCAGAAAGCATGTGACCTCTGCGTGACTCCTAAGACTTTGATGATCCTTCGGTTAATTCCATCAAGAGATTGCGCTGCCGATGCTAGTTTTCTGGCGTTGTAGTTTCTGGATCAGCTCAAGGTCTTGCGCCTGCCGATGACGTCATTTTCTTTCACATAGGTGTGATTTTTGTACATGATAACGTAACTTCTGTAGGTCGTATGTCCAGCCAATCATCTAGTGTGATGTCATCGACAGGCGCAGGACCCTGACCCAGCCAGAGGGAAACATGGCGTCTAATATAGCGTCCCCCAAAGACGTTAGACCCATGCCATATGTACTTTAGACCCTATTTATATGGTTATATGTTACAAAGCCGCCAATATTTTTCAACAAATGGACATCATTTTATTCATTTTCAACAAAATTTTACAGATATTTCCAGAGATTAACAGTAAAAATACACAATGTCGCTTTAATGTTATGTTTATATTTTAAACATGTTACTGATTTACATGAAATTTGGCATAAACTATAAATTAATGACCCACATTGAAAGCAGAACACCCGACACACACACACACACACACACACACACACACACACACACACACACACACACACACACACACACACACATACACACACACACACACACACACACACACACACACACACACACCTCTGCAAGATATATAAATCTACCCCTTGTACACTTTCTGCTTCTGCCTTTGTCAGGTGTTGACAAAGTCTTTTATCTTTGTTTTTATCAAAATGAACACCAAAGCACAAAATCTACATGTTTCCTCATCTAAAGGTAGGACGCTTTTATATTTCAGATTAGTTATTTATTTATTACCTTACATGAGGATCAAGTTTAAAACAGTGATTATTATGAAGCATCATCATACCAAATATCAAATTACATCTGCCTATTAATAAACAGAATTTAGACACACGATACAAAGCAAGCTAGGATCAAAGTTTGTATGAAAAGCAAGATGTTCCAGGTCCGGTTGAGAGGCTTTAAGAATACTCTAAAGTGCAGACACTGTTGTAGAAATTAAATAAAATGAAAGTTTATGCATAATATTGAGAATAACAGAAAATTGACAGGAAAAAATTATGAATTGATTTAAAAACCTTTCAAACTACAAATATGCAATTATGATTAGAAATTATTTCTTTTAGGAAGAAGAAGAAGCAATTAAAGCAGGAAAGTGGGACAAAACCAATGCAAATAATGAACACATTTACATGAATCCACAGATTTTAAAACATGGAAAATGCAACAGTTAAATACATTTTTGAATCTAGAAAAACAGGTAAAAAAAACTAGACAAACAGTAAAATGATTACAACGGGAACAAAAATTACAGGTAAATTTAAAAATGGGATGAGGATTTATGCAACAGCAGATGTAAAATGGCTAGAAGCAAAATACAGAAAGAAAATAATAAATTACTGTATAGGAACTCTAATTCATTTTGAATAAACATTTTGGATATGAGAACCAGTTTGTAGTGCAGACAGTTCAGCTTTCTTTTTGTTATAGAAAAACAGTCATTTTTGTTTGACTGAAGACATAATGCATGTTTCTGGTCTGTATTTTCTAGGAAAAGTCAAAGAAGGAGAAGCTGTGTATGATAATTCAGCTGTGAGCTTTGAGAATGAAGTAGAAACCGCCTCAGGTGGGTCATCAGTTTCATGAGGATCACATTAGAACAGTTTTATAAATATACTACACCTGAAAAATGAAACACATTAAGAGTGTCTGGCTTTAGAGATAAATAAAGTCAGATTTGATCCTTCTGTCAGGTCACAAGCAACATAATGCCACAAACCAATCATTTTATGTTTCATCACAGCTTTTAAAATAATGTTTTATTCATTTAATTGTTACTTCTTAAAATGAGGATCTCTCTGATGTGAGTAAAAAACTGCAGATTTTTTTATGACTTGTTTATCATAAAAAATCATTCATTTCTGCTTGGTTGAAGACGGTTCTCATTTGGTGTTCTCCAGGGGAAGTCAAAAGAGGAGAAGCTGTTTATGATAATTCAGCTGTGAGCATTCAGGTGGAAGTAGAGACCGCCTCAGGTGGGTCAACAAACCCATGAGTATCAAACTTTTATGTTTATTATAACAGTTTTATAAATACAATACACCTCACAATAAGACACATTGCATCTGACTTTCATAATGAGACTGAGATAAAGTGATTTAATTTTTCTGTCAGGTCGCACATTTTCATCCTTCATTCTGAAGTTTGCTCTTCTGGCAGCTTTTGGGCTCATCCTGCTGCTCGTCATCATCCTCAGTATCTGTGAGTTTCTTGTCATTCTCACATTTTGTACCACAAACTTATAGAAACTTTTAAAAGGTTTTGTTCCCTTTTTTTTCAAGCTTTTCTCAAACATCACTTTCTCTTTGCTGTAATTATTCTTCCTGTTTATGTTGGCCACTTACTAATAAATGTTCATTTGAAGCCATTAAAAACACAAACTTACTGAAAGTCTGTCAAATGATGTGATATCAAAACATTTTTAAATATCTAAACATGAAAAATTATTTTAAGTGCCATTTTCACGTGTATTAATGAGAGAAATCATCTTTAACCTGAGTCTAAGGTTGGGCAAGGTACCAGAACTTTGGAAGACCTCACGTGTGGTACCTGTGCCAAAAAAGCCACATCCAAAAGATCTAAGGCCTAGTCCACACGTAGCCGGGTTTTTTTTTAAACGAATATCTGCCCCTCCAAAAACTTGCAGCCACACCACCTCGTTTTAAAAAAAAACTGTCCACACGTACCCGGATAAATACGTTGTTAAGGACATGCCAGACCTGTAGGCGGCAGTACTTCCCCCGTTCTTAACCTCGTCCTTCGTCTGTGGTCTTCCACAAGTAGCAGTAATTCCGCTTGCAAAAACAAACAAGCAAAAAGCGCTTGGACAATTGATAAAGCGAGCGCAGCTCTGAGGGCATCCATGATGCCGGCTAGTGTAAACACAGGTCGCACACGTGATGTCAGCATTTTTTTGTCACGGAAAGTGACGTTGTGGACCTTAAAACTCCGGTTTTGTCTGTCCACACACAGACACCCAAAACGGAGAAAACGCAGATCTTCACTTTGGCCGGAGTTTTTAAAAAGATCCGTTTTCGTGTGAAAAACTCCATTTTCGTGTGGGCACCATTTACACCACATTGCCGTGAACAGGCTACGTGTGTGCAGGGCCTAAATGATTAAAGATCGGTGGCTCTGACTTCCCACCTAATCAAGACTCTGGAGCAGCTGGTCCTCACGCAGCTTAGGCCTCAGGTGAGATCATCCTTGGATCCAC